TTCAACGAAGCAATTGTACTCATGTTCATTATGATGATGATGATGATAAGTGCACAACTGAGATCCTACTCAAGACAACTTTTTCCTGCTAATATTAATTATCGTTTGCTGAGGTTGTTCATTCACCACAAGGAAATGTTACTGCATCACCTATATTTACATCATTTGTGAAGTCAATAAGCGTACTTCCTGTGGTTTCTTTAGAAACCTGAATGTGATAGTTTTGACATTAGCTTGTGCAATGGATGGAGTCTGCTGCAAAGAAATCTCATTTTCACACAATCGGACTCTACTGAGTTTATTCTAGAGAATGTGGTTACGAGATACATTTATAGCAGAGCCAAGTCAAACCATCGTCAAGTCCATGTCACGTTTCCATCTAAGAAAGAAGAGATTACACGGACTTACATCAGGGACCCTACCTTAAAGAACTGATAATTCGTTGTCTCCATCGGCAATTGCCCTACAAATGTAAAAGCAAGGTACAGAGCATGTTCCTGTTTTCTACTTTCGTCGTGTGACACTGGGAATATCCATATTTTCAGGGTTGTGTATGTGAAATAACGCCATAACTGCGTTCTGAATTACATGCACCAAGTTAGAAGAATCTAAACTTGGATTGAGAAATCCATTCTTCAGCACGTAGGCTTCATTATGATGATGATGATAAGTGCAGAACTGAGATCCTGCTCAAGACTGTGTTCATGCATTGATTTCATAGCGTTGTTGGTATCTTGATTGTTACGACATGTTTTCCTCCGTTCATCACAAATCCACTGACCTGAATTCCAAAACAGTAAGTTAGATGTACTTGTGAAAGACCATTAAGCAAAAAACGACTTTCAAAATATAATAACTTCATATATAATGCACATGTTACAAACTTACACTTACCCATACAAGGTTCCCATTCTGTTTGGAAGTACTTCACAAATTGTGGCTCAAAGAGCTGAAAATTTTGTAAAATAACAGAATCTTCATCGCACCAAATGTTTCCACATCAACTTCTTCTCCATCAGCAGTCAATGTGCTTCCAAAGCACAAGTCTTCTAAAGTAGCATTCATAATAGTTCTCTTTTCATGACCACTCACAACCTCAATCAATTTCTTTGTCCATGCTTTTCAAACATGATATATGCAAAGAAATATAGGGATATGTGGAAAAACAATGTCTATGGCAAGTCTCTCATTGTCAGCACAATCCGTCATGAAGCACGAGGACATCCATCCAGGGATATAACGTTGGGCCATCTTCTTCACTGCAGATAATAATTCCACCAGATTTATGTTTTTTCTCTTTCAAGGAATCCAAAAATAGTAGGATGTCCGTGTTCATATTTGTCAAACACCATCAGGGTGTACAGTAAATACTGCATTGCAAAAAATGAAATAAACGTATCAGTTTGCTGCTAGCAGTCGTCTACAAAGTATTCATCTTCATTGATACTAAGCTAAACCTGATACAAATGAGTGATTCGCTATTTTTATGTCTTGATAAGCTAGACGTGATCAAGGTATATAAAACAACATATACAGCACACATTGAGAAGTTCAATAATGTCTTACAAGATTAGTTAAAGCTACAAACCGTCATTTTTTCAAGTATCTTGCAGATATTGCAAATTGTAAGGTAGAATATACATAATCATGGAAGCCTTATGATAAAAACATCAAAATGGACAAGTAGAATATTACCTTATACTTTTGCGTGTCATGCGTTCCATCTATAGCAACACAACCTCCAGTTCCATGTTTTAGCAACCAATCTAGGAGCAAGGGTCTTGTAACAACAAGTCTCAATGGTTTAAATGTATCACTTTCTGGTGCCTGATACAAAACAACTTGAGATGAATTCGCTTTCATCCATAATTTTGTGCTAATTCTATCATTAGCATGCCTTCTCCAAGTTTCTTTGTCCAGTTCCAATTTGATATTATACACATCAGCAGATGTGATATAATGATCTCTAATAGGGGTTCCTTGCACATAGTCCAAGCTCTGATGATTTTCAAACAGTGCTTTTGCAGCACGCATGAGAATTTGTGGAGGAGTTAAACCTCTTCTTAACTCGCATTTAACCCACTCCCTGGCGAAAGAACGTAGAAAATATTAGACAACGTGCTTGCTTAGCCTCAAAGTTTTACAGACTGTCAAACTGTCATATTTGTAATAACAACAAACTTATTGTACATATTACAAATATGACAGGAAATTGACTATGAACGATAAACTAATACAATTATGAATTCAACAGTGCTTCAACATTAACGAATTTGTGGAGTGCTCATCAATTTGTTAATGTTGAAGCACATAGTGCCCTAAATCCTCTGGTTCTGGCCAATTTCCTCTCATAGCGATGGGTAGAACCTCAGACTCAACCTCGAAAATTCTATAGAGATTTGCATCGATCCATCCGCCTCTCGTCATCTCGTCGTGGATGATGAGTTTCGGCGCTACCGTGCACCAGCAAGCAGACGGGTATCCGGGGTTTTGGCGGTTTACGGGCGACCATGCGGTTGTTGAAATCTCGAGTTGCGTCGTGCGTCGGGACTTTCGGCTCATGAAGCAGCCATGTTGAAGCACCATCGATCCGGGAAGGTCTTGAGGCGGGCGCTCCAAGTGTTCGTCGCTTTGATAGAACATAATATGACCCGTATAGCGCCCTAAAAAATCCGGGTAGTACTCATCCAGGCTCTCCTCCAGGTTGATGATGAGGCAACCAAGAAGCAAAGGGCATTTATCATATTTTTGGAGCGGAGTATTAAGCGTGTCCAAAGACAAATCCCTGAAGATCCTATGGTCCATTCCAAGGGACCTAAAGTGAGAATCATATCCTGTTTTCCCCACACACAAGAATCCGGAAACATACATGGGAACGAAGTGATCGGTCATTCGGTTCCGGATCTCAGACCGGAGATTGCTGTGTAGTTCCAACACAGCGGCATGAAGTTCTTCGGGTGGTGGATTGGTCATGCGTATCTGTAGCACCACATCGCCACCCCCCCCCCCCCCATGAGGCAAGAAGTTATAGCTCAAATTTTCATCGTACGCTCGTCCTCTCGGAAAACTTTCAGCTCATAACTCGTGCCCCACGGACGATTGGGAGCAACGGCGGCTATTTCGCGGATGATGAAGTCACCCCCAGCCAAAAAGAAAACTCTGTCGAGAACAAGCTTATCATGATAATAACTCGTCATGTCATTCTTCTCCGTGGGATTTTACTCCGATTGGGCTACCATGTGCCACATTTCGGGCGCATCCGGAGTATCCTGGTGGTGGAGGTGGAGGGTAGCAGTCTGCAAGGGTTTCCAGGTATACATACTGGACGTGAACTCTATAATCAATGCTTCAACATTAACGAATTGAAAGGGTCATCATAAGGTGGGTCCTGCACAATCCATCCCGCCTCCATGCTGTCACCACACCTACAAAAAGCACCTGAAATGACAAAAAAAGTACAAGCACGAGCTCTGGCACAAGCTCCTCAAAGCACTGACACTAGCACCCAAAAGCGACGTCGAAACGACGAGCTGGAGAATATCGATATGATACCATTTTCAAAAACCCTAATCTTTGCCTCTTAAAATTTCGTCGCCTCAATATGTTATCACCGTTTGATTACAAATATTACAGTTTGAACATTAGGGATTCCAACTGAGCTTTTCCTCTTGCGGTTCAGTTTTAGTTTTTAGTTACCGCAACGTTCCACGACACGACCGCGATCATTGTTACGGCGTAGATCTTTGCAACGCAATAGATACAACGTTGCGGCCTCTACAGTGACTGCCTCTTCTACAGGCTTGTTGGAATTTAATCCGGTTGAGGGTCTCTACATGGTCGCCGGAATGTAGGGTCCGCCCACCCTCAAGTTCCCAAAACTGAGATAAAATCCGGCTGACTCGGGGCAGCCCGAAGGGAGCATGAAGAAAGAAAGAAATTGGGATCCCTGACACCTGGCAGTACGGCAGTTTGTAAAAGTTAGTGTAACTAAGCGAGTCGGTTCACAATGATCTATAACAACTACTCCAATTGCACCACTTTCTTTAGTTTCCTGTGTACATCACTCCAATGCAGGTAAAACAGATATACAAGTTACGTAATTTCCAAAAAGAATAAACTTCAGTTATGGTTTGTAAAAGTTAGTGTAACTAAGCGAGTCGGTTCACAATGATCTATAACAACTACTCCAATTGCACCACTTTCTTTAGTTTCCTGTGTACATCACTCCAATGCACGTAATACAGATATACAAGTTACGTAATTTCCAAAAAGAATAAACTTCAGTTATGGTTCTTTATTGAATAGAATTTGTTCGATGTTATGCCTGCCATCGCTAATGAAACTCGCTCATTGTTGCGTTCATCCTTGGATAGGTTAACAAAGTATTCCCTTATTTATTATTTTCTATGTATTGGTCAAAGATATCTTAAGAGGTGTGTTCCGTATGTCCTAAGTAAATCAGATATATCAAGTCATGTACTTCGTAATTCCCTTGGTGACTTGTATGGGCTCGCCCCATGTTTAGATTCATCCCCGCATGCGGTCTTCAATCCTCCTTTAATCTGAGCGAAGGTTAGAGCATGGATGATACGTAGTTTCATTCACAACTTACATGTCCCCATCAAGCCAGCGTGTTCCAAAACCAGAGAGCCCTATTTCATAATATTCAGTAAGTGTGACTTGCATTTGTCTAGGGCTTCGTGAAAATGGTTAATTTTCACCAACTGGGGAAAGCCAACTTTCCTTTAATGTTGGAAGGCTAAAAAACCCGTTTTTGCTTCCTGCTTTCACTTAGTGAAGTGATGAGTAGGCAGATGACATGTTGACGCTAGCAAGAAAAAATGCCTCCCTGATGGCAGGATGTGCACCATAATTGTCTACTATTTATTGCGGCAAGCATGTCTGAGACTAGACAATACGGAGAATACGTAATTTGAATCCTGATACAAAGTGTGCGATATGAGCCTCTTACAGCTCGTTAGGAACCAACCAGTAAAACCTTAATTCTCACATGAGTTTTATCATTGATAGAAAAATCTATTACAATAGATATCTTCTGGCATCCACCAAACGCGTTCCTTCCTAAGTTGAACATTGACCAAAATGTTGCCCGTGGTGCAACCTGAACCCGAACCTGACTACAAAATATGCAAAACTGGGTTTTTCCTGCTGTACAAATTTGAACTCATTGGAAGTGAACGCTACGTGGAGGTAATGGCAGACCTGCGATGAACGACGAGCAACGACGGGGCAGGGAAAAGGTGTTACAAGGTCGTTTTATAGAAAACGGTTATAGTATGAAGAGAAAAAATCTCAAGTCCTCTAGAAACTTGTCCTTCCCTAACAGGTCCTTCACTTTTCTCCCGTGCGGTAAGTACTCAAATTTAGCCCAATAAGTAACCTGAATCCATGACTAGAACGGCAACAGTTTCATTGTTACAAATCACTCAATTGATCCAAAGCAAGATGAAAGCACTTACCATACTTCACGACATCGAACGGCCTCCTTGCGCACTAATCTTTTCTTGTCATCTAATGCTATTGTGATCGCTTTCATCACCTGAACATCGTTGCACGTTCAGAGTCGAAACAAAGAATTGACTAACAGAGAAATCTCACGAATGAATGAGTTAAATGCCTCGAAGTCAAGAAAATATTTCCTAGGCGGAAGTATATTCGGCCTGATGAATGTGGAAAAAATAACCAGATCACATGCCAGTTTCAATCAATGTTTGGCAGCTGACCTGAGATTTCACAGGGAATACGCGGGTGAACGACAAGCCCACGATGGCTGCTAAGCACTGCAACGCAGATTCTCGAATCATCTACACGAAAGAATCAGGTTGAGCACAAAAGGTGACATAAAATTCTAGCTGAACAAAACCAGGAATATTTTGAAACAGGTCACCAAAGGATAAAGCCCTACTTCTGATCACAAGCTCTACACACAAAGGATTGTTTTAGCTCTTTATCAGAAAGAGAGAACTACGAATAGCTTTTGGAAGAAATGTGCTAGCAATCAAATGGACTCCTTACCATTGATGATTTGTACTGCGAAACGGGTACCAATCTATTCACCATCGACTGTACATATTCAGCTGCAAAACTTCTGCCTGATAAAATTCGTCCCAAAGGAAATGAATGAATAACAGACAAATAATTGAATTAGAGACACACCTACTTCCAACTCGGAAGAGCGACCCCCAGAAGAAATGCAATGATGGTCTTGCATTATTACCTAACTTCAGATGGTACTCATGCAGATTAACTGGATTTAGAATGTGTGAACATACCATTACTCTCATCAACAAGGAACGAGGATAAAGACAGCAAGAGCTGAAGTACATATTCTGAATCCTCTGGATATGTGCACAGGGTCGAAAGACCCTCAAGAATTAAAGGAAAAACCTGCGCACCGGTCATCTTAGATTTAGTGACTATCTCGTCCACGACTACCACACAGAAACTTTGTAAAACATTTTACTCGTAAGAAGAAAGGAACAAATCCATACAAAACGGAGAAGACGCGTACCCTCTTCCCTTCTGTCAAGACAGCACCAAGAGGTGTACCAGAAAGAAGACATGCAAATGAACGATAGAACCAGATCCTGCAGGTAAAAGCCAATAGTAAATTATACAGAACATAACTAGGATTCCACAAGCACGACGCCTTTGAGCAAGATGACAGATACTCGGCCTCCAGGACGAGACTGATTCATCTCATTGCCTCAGCACTAAACATTTATTTATCCACAATACCTACTGGACCTTCATACTCTGGTGGGCACTCACCTGGACGACTGGTTGCTATCAAGGCGCACAGCTTCAATGAGGGGTGAGAGTATGCTGGTGAAAAACCGCTGTTTGTATAGAGGTCTGATGACAGCGTTTTGACTCTTGCTCAAAAATGAGGCGTGTTCATTGACAATAAGCCCAAAGCTCTCCACTGCTGCCCTTCCAACTGCGGACTCGGTTAACTTATCTGATTGGTCTTTCATTTCAAAACTGTCAGTCGTACCACTGTACGCTACAGGCTTCCCTAGAGACTCAAGAACTCTTAGCATTGCGCCAGCTATATCAGCAATTCTAGAGTGTCCTCTCATTGCCAGTCCTTTCCCCGCCAATGCAAGCGCGTAAATAGATCTGGCTGCTGATTTTTCTGCATCTTCTGCGCAAAAACTATTTGGCATATCCCCTGTACCGTCTCGCCGAACCTGTTTAATAATGGGCATCCAACCTTCATCCACGGCGATAGTTATCGCCTCCTTCAGGGGAAAGCTACCAGCTTCTTCAGATTCCGATTTTTTTTCATTCCACTTATTAAGCATAGAGGCAGCGGCCTGTGCGGCAGTATCTGTAATCACGGGGTCCAGATTGGCAACTGATGTACTGACTAAAAGCCGTAAAACGCTTTCTCTTTCCTCAAACAAAACTGAAGGAAGCAACCCCACTATCACAGATCCGACGAGGGCCACGAGCCATTCTTTACCCTCCATGTGTTTTGCGCTAAGAGATCGGACCCCACTAAGCTTAGTGTTTTGCTCAGGGGAATATCCCCCCTGCAAAACACTAAGACTCATAGTGAGAATCTCCTTCTGTAATCTCTCAGGGCATCTTTGCACTGTGACCCGAATCACTTCCATCAAGGGCAGAAGAATCTGAAACACCAGACAAGGTTCAGTCCATCCTTCAACGTCGTTCGTCCTGATACAACCGTGTGAATGGAAAAAACACCCGATGAGAGAGATGACAACAAGTCGTTCGTTCATATTGGTAACTGGATGAAATCTGCAAGTACAACCTGACAGATTCGTGGGCGACTCTTTATCAATCACTGGACTCTGTTTTGAGTATACATACATCAGGGGCAATATAAACAGTGGATTGAGGTAGACTCCCAATTGATCTCCAGATGTCCATGACCACATCACAGGCGGCTAGTTGACCAACGCTGCCAATCTCGCAACTGTTTTGAAAACACAATCAATCATCAATGACTACTTTACAGAAGATGCTCGCGAAACTTCTAAACTTCGAGGGGAAATAATCTGGTTCCTTACAATATATACAGAATAATTGCGGCACTAAAGTGTAGCAGGCATAATGTGTTGAGCTGAATCCAAATCAAAATATAAGCTCGGTTAAAGGAGGGCTTACAAGGGGATGATCTGTCCACTTAAACACCTAAAGATCATAACCGCCTTGGCAAACTCAAAACTTCCGTCAGCTAGGGCCTGCGGTACAATTAAATCAATGGTAAGTAGATCTTACTGCCAGCGGTTGCACAGAAAAAAGGTGTTTGTGCGGGCTATAAAACAGTGAATCGCAAAACTAAAAACCACGTAACCGGTATAGCATCTAACTCTTTCAGCATTCGACTCACCAGCGTTTGGCCAAGCTTGCTGGGGACTAGTTGGCCCAACACCTTCAACACTTTTTCTCGCACGGATTCTCGAGAAGCAGAGAGAGCAGCCAGAGCACGCAAGTGAAAATCTAAGGGCTCAGGCGAACACGCTTCCTGCACCGCGTCCAAAAGTTTGGGTAGCACTACGTTCAGAACGCTCACTTTCTCTTTCTCTCTGCTGCTTAAGAATTCCTGACGGTGTAAATCTGTGCATTTCTCTTCCAGATTGCTGGCAGCAAGAATCGCACCAAGTGCTTGATCTTTCAATTCCGAACCCTTGGTTTGGTCCAGAAAAGTCGATGTAAGAAACGTAAGCACAGTCTCAAGCTGGTCTTCAGAAAGGGGTGACAAAGTAGCAGGATATGATGCCAAAGCCTGCAGCCCAGCCACTGCCACATTTAAATTTTAGGGCCATGGCTGAGATTGACCGTAATATCCTAGTTTACAACCCCTGTACGGCTGGGATCACGAAACATATGACAAAGCTCTCTTCAGCGACTGTTTACATTCGCTGAAGAGGATCCCCAAAGATACCGTACGTCATACTACGAGCTCACAGAACACTCTGCGTACATGTCAAAACTTTGAGAAATATTAGACGAAGTCAAGGGAGGATCAACGTAGCTACCACCGAGTTTTAGAACTGTTGTCACGACTCCACTCGCCACGACACGGGAGAACGTATCTATCAGAACCGGCGCAGCGAGTATGACTGGGTCCAACCAGTACTTCAAGGCGAATTCAGATGAACTTGGATTCGAAGAATCTGCTAGAACATTAGCCAAATGTCTCGCCCCTTCAAGGACAAATATTACAGCTTCCAGTCCTGTTAGCGATAAACCAGCCTCCAAAGATATGCTATGTCCTTTGGCAGCTACACTCTCAGAGGATTGATGATCAGAGGACTTGGGACTAACTACTTCAACTGAAGGTAGAAGAGAGGATAGAAAAGTTTTCGTCACAATGTAACAGGAAGTACAACTCGCTCTTGCGGCAGCGCCTAATAACCGGCCGACAGCCTGCAGCTGTGCATCTGTCGTCAAAGCATACGTTTTGATCCCGTCTCCAGGATCTATTTCCTGATCCAGTTCATTCTTCACCCGTCTCAAAAACCCCACAACGCAGTCGTCTTCCAGTACTAGTTTCATGAAATCTCCCGTAATATCGTCCTCATTGGTCCTAACCTTTTGTGAGGCCTCTATGCAGCGAGCAAAACAAGAAAAGGCCTCCTCAAGGATAAGGGAATCTTTCTGATCGGAGACTCCGTCCTCTTGTCGAAAAATTTCAGACTTCAAACCCGTCCAGATGTCACCAGCATGCTCTGACAACGCTTCAGGATCATAGGAGAGTGCACAGTGACCAATGTAATTTAAAGCGTCCAGCTGCACAAAGAGGTGAATGAGATCAGAAAAAATGTCATTCTCGATTTCTGACTTCATCCAAGTTGGTCAAAAGCTGAAAGTCATACATAAATTAGAACAAGGCATCAGAGTAGTACCGTGATATGCTTTGTAAGTCTGAAGGCTCACCTTGGCTCTTTTAAGAGTTGACGATAGCTTTTCCAGCAACACAGGGAAGCAAAACGGAGCAAACAAGGGAGTTGCTGTAAAGACTTTCTGCAATTGACAGCAACCAGTTTGTGAAGCAAGATTACGACGAGATTACGACGGACATGGTGGTCATGACGAGTAATTTCATCAAGATAATCAGTAGAAATCAAAGAAATGACTTACCAATAATGCAGAACTTAGGTCCTCCCGAGTAATCCCTCGAGGATCTTGAGGCTGCAAGAAATAAAAGTTAGTATCTACATATAGAAAGGACTGTAAGATGAGCCTATAAACATTCACTTGTTACAGAGAACAACAGAAAGAAGAATGAACCTATATTGTTGGTAAGCAAGGAAGGTGCTAGTTTCGGGGTAAAAGCAGCAGATCAATCAAAGGAGTGGTGTGTTCCTACGACTTTTCAAGCCAAAGGAAAACTGCTTTGCGTAATGACGACGTCTATAAAGTTAGAGGGAGATCTAAACAGGAAGTCACACATATGGCGTAAATGACGGCACTTGTACCTACCGTATTGAATGAGATTGGAAAGTATCGACTAACAATGTCGAAGATATCCTCTGCATTTTCTCCAAAAGGGCCATCTGGTTCTGGGAAAATCGAAGCCAGTTTCTCAACGAGACGAAACGCGACCAATATGCACCTTGGATCCTTCTCTTCCTCTATGGCAGCTATGATTCCGAGAACTAACTCGGGACCCTGCAGAACATCCGCTTTATATCAGATAACACTCAATTGCTTTTCACATATAACGTATGAAATTACAACTAAAATCCGATGAATTCAACAATCTAGAACAATCTTCCTGTTGAACAGACTATAAGGGCGATTTATAGGGCATCAAACCTAGACAAGGACATATCGAGCCCTTCCTCAGACATACAGATAGAAAACCACCCCAATGCCCTCGTGAACTTTAAAGCTTCGCCCACAAATTTAAATATAGGTTTGAACAATAACTTACATTGTCAAGAACTTAGACGCTATAATGATGAGGGCGAACAATTTTGAAGAGGTAAAAAAGCATAACACGTCAAAAAAACTTTCCTACTCTAAACAGATACTTTCAGTAATGTTGATGGATGACGTAGCTGATTGATCACATGGATGCCATCAATTTCCAAAGTTCATAGCGGAAGAGCAAACATAGTGTGGATAACACAGGAAACAGAGCGAGCCATACCAGTGGCTCCATAGATGAGACATGCAGGGTGAGGAGTGATTCGTACAATTCCAAAGAGAGCTGCGCATGACGATCGTATGTGTCAGCTGCTTCAGTGAAGTCGCCTTAAATAAGTCCATATGTACCCGATCTCAGAAAATCTATACTTCACTAGTTTTGAGAAAACAAAGACAAAAATTTCATCTACACATTCAGAAGTTCGTACCATCCGATCTTTCTGACTTAGAGCCTGGACATCAAGCTGTTCTATTATAGACCTGCCCAGCGTCTCCGCGTCCTCTGGTTGGACCGCTCCAACTCGCTTAGGTCTTCTTGCTAGGGCAATGGAACCAATCAAAGCTGGACGCAAGGAGTGCCAATCTTGCTGAACAAACATAAGGTTTCAGTACAGAACCTCGCTTGCAATTGGGAACTTACGTCACCACAGAACTCTGAAAACCTTGATACTTTTGGAACTTGTATAGGAGGGTTGAGCTACGGGTCAACAAAAACTACACAGGAGAATATTGTCTTCGAGTATCACTTACAAGTCGGTTCGAGAAGAAAGACGCGAGACTATGAATGGCAGTGTCTTCCATAGGTGTATTTGCCAGGTCCTCTAGTAACTCTGCTAGTAATAACAATCCTGCAAGCCAAAATCTCGGTTCCTTATATGGACTCAAAAACAATCATCTAAAAGTGTAAGTGCACGTTTCTCATAATATGAAAAAAAAAAAGAACATCCCTTGAATATACACCAATACATGCATAACAATCCTAGGTTCGTCCAAAGGAAAAATATGCGGTTTCCGAGCCTACCTCTTGCCCGGATCGCGTTGTCATTGGAAGTCAAGTACTTCCCCGCCACAAGGACCTGACAAAATGTCGTTATCAGTAATCGGCATTATGGATGCATGGAAGTGTGCAAATGCAAATGATGTCCTTACAGTAAAGACACGAAATCTTGGCGAGCATAATGACGTCTTGGGAACAGGGCCTTGAAACTGCAACAGGGTAACCCACCAGCTGTTGAATTGTGATGGTTTTGTCGAGCAACAACTTTGATATCGCATTCCGACTATCGACCTGCAATGAATTATCCAGCTTGTAAAAACGATCGGGCCCACGTGCCTCGCAAATAAGGTAAAGAAGCTAAGTGAATCCATTCTTCGCAAAGAAGGCAAACACTTTCCCTTGCGACTAAGCAAGGTCCCTGAACTTAGACATTATTGGCTCGAGTAAGATTGAAACTCTAACCCTTTCATCACGGGTATATCACAATCGAAGGTTTCAAAAGATCGAAATTTATACGAACTCGTAACTGCTACTCTGAGAATGGAACTAGAATTATGCATCAAACTCCTGGTCCTGATTCAACAAGGAAGTACGCACAGAGCACTCACAAAGCAAAACCGACATGTACCTGTTTGCTAGTCGAACAATCAGGATCCACATAGACGTCGACATGAGCGACCCAATTCGAAGAGCAAGCCATCGCTCGACCCCGCTGATTAGTTCGCCAGAATTCAGCTGACAACAAGGGGTCGGAAGCTGGCTGCGGTCAACTCATCGCTAGCTGGGAACAAACGAAACAATCGTCACCAGTCTGTAAAATCCGAAACGGAGCAACTCAAGGCCACGAGCAACAACAACCCAGTTCAACTTGTCAATGCCCGCAGTCTAAAAAGCAGAAAGGCTAGACAGACCGTAATTGCCAGTTCACACAAGAATCATGGGCAGCTTAGACTGACGAAAGTACGAACTCCGAGCTTCGATGAAAAAAATCCAATTCCAAATAAAACGATCATCGCGCCAGCCAAGGTAAAAATCGCGTGGATGCAACGCGACGTACGAGCTTCAATATCCACTGCACGGAGTGCACCAGGAGATTAAGGGTTTCTGTCGCAGCTGGGTGCCGAGGGTGTGATGTGCCGAATGAGCAAGCAAGTTGAGAAATCATGCACCCCTCGAGGCAAAGAGAGCGCCCACGCACCAGGGCTCGAACCGAGCCAGCCAGCGCTTTCGATTGTGGCGGGAGTTTGCCAATCTCCAGTAGAAAATCCACGATCCTATCTCTAACTCTGGCGGCGATGATGCCACCCTTCCATATTTGGAAGTCCCTCTAGTGGGGCACCCTAAACTCTTCTAACGCTCGTGCTCTCTTTGTCAGAGAATACTATTTCAGAAGCTCTATTCTCTCTAAATCCTCGTGCTCATTCTTATCTGTATTTCACAGTTCGTGATCAATCATCGCTTAGAATGTCTCATTATGATATTAATCTAGAACGAAAGTTGAAAAATTGGACACCATTACATGATACACACACGATGTACGGTAATTAGATTAGATGGAATGTCAATGACTAAAAATAATTAATTGGTTCTTATAATGATCCGATTGGATATTTCTCTTTTATTAATTGAATACTTATTCGAATCTCAAAGTTTGGTAAACAATTTCACATCAACGAATAATAAATTCTAAATTTTAAATTTTAATTTAATTTTGGGAAAATTTTCTTGAAACAATTCCTTTAGAATACAACGACATAATGTATTTCATATATTACGTTCTTGCAATATATTTTTACAACATTGAGAATATTGCAGTTCTATTTCAAGTACAAACGTCTAAAGCATTGACATGATACGTTATAGTTTGAGAAAGAAATTTCCAGATCACAAAAATATACATGATTTTAAGCATCAAAACTAGAATCAGAGAATAAACAAAAATAAACATAAAGTTGAGCATCAACACTAGGACCACAAATGATAAATTGAGAATTAAACCAATGAGTTTAAATAATATTTTGAATCCACAAAATACATTGCCACAACTAGAGATTATAGCCAATGTTATATATAAAATCTTTGAAAATGCACACAAACACACTACATAGCATAAAGTAATGATGATTATGTTTTCAAAAAGTTTATATTATCTTTTTGATTGATTCTAGATAATTAATTGGATAATGTATTGATTATTTTGTAGAAAATACATGATATTTTATGAAAATATCGGATTTGCATGAAATCTAAAAAACTGTAAGGTGTAACTTAAGTTTGGATTTTACTCTAGTTAGTTAACCTTAGTTAGTTGTCGCGGTTAAACTGCCACTAAATATTCTTGTTAACATTCATGTTTTTGACTCGGAGATCGTCATTAACAGTTTGAAATTTTCCCCGGGGACGTAGGCCCCAGCTTGGGTTAAATCACGCACCTCGCGCGTGTTGTGTCTTGTCTCTTGGGTGATTTCTGCCTTTTTACAGATGGTGCATTTTAGTTTCTACTACTGTTAGTTCCATGTTCTACTTGACAAAAAAGACTTTCAAGATAAGTTGATATGGACATCTGTATGTACATTATTGACTGTAGCTACTATCTATGCATAATATTTAATGTGTTGTTATGAAGATGTCAATTCATCCTTACAAATCCAATATCACAATCTAATGTCTCAATACATGAACACAAGTGGATATAAACTAATAAAAATAATCAACTATGGTTGATTATTTTTAGAAAAATCCAACATCAAATGGAATGAAATCTTATAGACTAAATTTTTATGGAAGAGACTATGTATATATTTTCATTATATATATGGATATATTGTTATTCTAGGTACTGTTTAACAAAACCAAATTCTGAACATATTAAAAAAATAATCCACAAATCTAGATATTGTATATTTCATAAATTGCAATCATAAGTATGCAGTTTGCATTCAAATTTTTTTGCTAAAAATTAATTATTATTATCACAATCATATCGTTACATCTTTAGTTATTTAGATCTAAAAAAATTACTCAAAATGAAATTAAAGTTGCATTATAGTGGATTATAGTAATCAACAATCTGTGCTTTTGATAGTAACACTGATTATGTTAATTGATAATATCACATCAGCAATCAGTGTTCTTTATATATAAAAGAAGTCTATTATATGATAAATATTTATTCAAAATTAAAGACCTGCATGAAATAAAAAATAATTTTTTCATTAAAATTTAAATAATTTTTATATTTCAAGCACATGTGATGTTTTATCTTATGATTCTTTATAATTTTATATCAAAATCATGTGATATGAGAATATCATACAATTTTGAGTTACTATAATGAAAAATCCAAATTTATAGTTTTTATTATATATCAACTAATTTTCTTACTTATTGAAGTAAATTACACATCAATATTTTTCAAAGCTAGACAATGTTGTGAATCTTCATCCAGAATATAGTGTATGAGAATATACCAAAATTACTGTGATCAATGAACCTTTCATCAAGCTCCAATCAAACAAAACATAGACGTCATTTTTCCCATGCCATCACACATAATAACATCCTAACACCCTCTGATGCTCGTGGCTTCACTGGTAACTTTCATCACCTTAGTGGGTGTCCGTGCTAAAGTTGCACGCTATTAGAGTATGGTTTGGTAAAGTCTGGGTGCAAGGTAATGATTTTAAGGACAGAATTTGCATGACATAATTAATAGGGGGCGAGAATTGAGATCAACGTACTAGCAAGCAATACCCACAATGACAATGAGAGGTTTGGTACTTTCGTTTAAACCACAACAACGAGAGCTACTACATGATGAAGTACTTTGTGTCGATATACTTTCTTCTGTTAACTACCTTGCTCGGGGCGTTTGGCGCGGCGTTATGAGACACCCATTTTCTGTCCTATCTATAATCGATTCTTTACCTAATTGTGACTACCAACAAAAAAACGAAAAAAAAAAAGCACTGAGTTACAAATTGAATCAAATCTGAGGGCTACTGGAGTTGGATGATTACATTGACATCTCACCACTTTGGATATAACATATGTGGTTTTGATCTCTTTGATGTTCATCTTATTACATCTTATTAATATATCAATCTAACCATGGAATGATGAACTTGCTGGTAGGATTTTACTTCAGGGCTTCTTAGGAGTATCCTCTATGTGACTTTTAGTAAAGTGTTCTAGGCGCATTCTATTTCATATGCTTCCTAGTAAGCTTCTTCAAGACTACATGGTATTTTTGTATGATGTTTGTTGGGATGATATTTATTTCCCCTTCTACTTCCACAAGGAAATACAGTACGATACGAGCATCGCAAGTTACGAGTTAAATTGAGCCACAATATACTCTAGTTTGCCCAAATTTGCACCTTCGGGTTGGATCAAAAGTATAACATAGCTGCACAGGTCCTTAATCACTTTTCTAGTACTTGATGGATAAAACCAGATGTTTTAAGTGCTTGATGGTGTCTCCCTCCCTTTTTGCCACATTCCTCGTATTTCCTAGAATTCTCTTTACCAATGCAACATCTCGCCAGGAGCTTTGACTTGGACACTGGGGGTTTAAGAAGAAAGCTGATCAGCTCCTGTTTGACATGAGCTCCTACACAATTGGGCTTACAAATACGAGTAAGGACCTTGAGCAGCTTTGATACACTGTTCATTATTTGATTCCAACAAGAGCACCATCACCACGAGGGAACGTAGCTGTTCTTCATTACTTAATTCAGTTAATAAATTTTTAATTAATTAACTGAATCAATTAACAATTGACAATTAACTGAATTAATTAATTACTTCAGTGAATTGTTGTTCTTCAATAATTACTTCTTCAAAAAAACTCAATTCATCACTGAGTTAATTATGTGCTAGCGAAGCTCACCTCTTGGTGAATGGATTTTTCCAAAGCCTTTACTATTTCAATTCAGGCTGCTACAGTCGTCATATTCCTTGCGAGGAGGATCACGAAATTCACTTGATTCTTAAGGCGAATGCAGCAGATCACTGCAAGGCAACGACAAATGTAGCTATCGGATCGGAACTCCAGCAACAATGGTAATGATCACACCACGACTACTGGATTTAGCTGTTGAAAGAACAGTACGTCACGGCTCTTGCCCTCACTATATGAAGCAGTGAAACCGACGTAGAACGACTCGTCGAAAAGTTTAGAGAGGTCAATCTTATAGCTCACGAGCGCTGAATCGAGCTTAGCATTTGTTGGGCTCAGCTGGACGACGAACTCCACCCGGACCTGAATTGGCTTTGCACAAAACATGGAACATGGGGAAGAACATGGAGCGTGTGATACAGAAGTCAAGGCGGTGTCGATCTCAAGCAAGTCGACATTCCGACAGTGTCGTATGCCACTGCTATGTTATTGAGCTGCCTACTTCCCCATATCGAGTGAAGGCACCCATGGAAGCAGAGTTGTGAGCGATACTCAATACTTTCTACAGCGCGAAGGTTAGCATCAAGAGCACGCACACCAAGGCAACTCTCTACTACATGCTTAGGTGATGGACATTCATCAATGATCCAAGGAGTCGGTGGTCCGTGTGGATACCCACAGGCTTACTGGATAATCGATGGCAAGGTCTTGCACAGAGCGAGGAGGAGCCGCAGCATGAGTGAAAGGTGAGCCGAGAATATCCTCTACAATTTCGCCCGTGACATGGCGACCACGGAAAGCGAAGTGCTCACAGGACCGTCTAGGAAAAGTTTTGTGTCATTGACCGATGCACCGCAAGCGAAAGGACGTTCGTCGAGATGCTTCTTCACCCACAGGCGAGACATGGGTGGAGAAATATACATTACAGTAAAGACCGGTGGCACTCGAATGAAAGCAGTGTGCTTCCAATTTCCACACAAATTTCAGCAATTGGCACATCTTCTCGAGGACTTGAGTCCTTCGGAAGAAAAAAAGTTTTATATAATACAAGTACACGTCTTGAGACCAGGGAGAGGTAGCCTGAAGATCAATCTAGTGTAGGAGGGCTCTCTATCTGTACAAAATATCTCCAACTTAGATATTCGAGGTGAGGACTGTCAGTGGGGAACGACGCCGGGAGGGAGGCAGGAGGCCGAGGCAAGCTAGCTCAAGAATTCTCCACCAGTCGGTCCATGAGGAGGGCCAAAACTTGGCCTGCGGCAGCTGATCTCAAAATTCCTTCGGCCCGTGGAGAGCCGGGTCCGAAAGGCTCGATAAATCAAAGGCCGAGCAGGGGAGCCGAGTTAGTGGACGACGGGGCCGGAGGGAGTTTCGGGGAGCTCCGACTGCTGCCGCTGCTGTCGCTGCTGGTGCTGGAAGAGCTGAACGATGTCGTCTTCAGAAGGTTCTGATAATGAATCTGAGGCAAGTCCGACGAGTACATGGGAGCAGGCTTCGAGGCGGGAACGGGAACCATGGGCACGTCCCCGGACAGAATCTGGATGACTTGCCGCATGGACGGGCGGCAGGAGGGATCGGGGTGCGAGCAGATGAGCCCCAGCAGCAGCACGAGAGTGATCTCGGACTCGTCGAATTGGCCCTCGAGCCGCCGGTCGACGATCGACATGAGCTGCCCTCGGCTCAGACTGCTCCACACGTAGTCCAGCAGGATCATGCGCTCGACCGGCAGTCCGTTGTCGAAGGCCCGCCGGCCGCACGCAATCTCCAGCGCCACCGCCCCGAACGCGTATACGTCCGTCTTGACCGTGAACTTCCCCTGGAACGGCGCCTCGGGCGCGATGTAGCCGTAGGTGCCCGCGACCTGCGTCGTGGCCGCCGTCTTCTGGTGGTCCACCATCCGCGCCAGCCCGAAGTCGCCCAGCTTGGCGTTGAACTCGCGGTCCAGCATGATGTTGCTGGACTTCACGTCGCGGTGGATGACCTGCTGGATCCACCCCTCGTGCAGGTAGTCCAGCGCGGCCGCCAGCCCGTGGACGATCTTGAACCGCTGCGCCCACGACAGCGCCGGCGAGGCCTCGTCACCGTCGCGGACCTCGAAGAGCGCCTTGTCCAGGCTCCCGTTCGGCATGAGCTCGTACACGAGCAGGAACTTTCCGTCGTTGCGGCACCAGCCGAGCAGCTGGACGATGTTGCGGTGGCGGATCTGCGTGATGATGGACACCTCGGACATGAACTCGCGCTCGCCCTGCTTCGAGTTCTCGGCCACGCGCTTGATGGCCACGGCCTCCCCCGTGGCCGCCAGCACACCCCGGTACACGCTGCCAAATCCGCCCTGGCCCAGCTTCGACTTCTCGCTGAAGGCGTTCGTGGCCGCGCTGAGCTGCTTGTAGCTGAACGTGTTGGCCAGCGAGCCCATCTCCCACACGCTCTCCTGCTCCGCCGCAAACCGCGCCGCAGACCTTTTGCGGAACGCCGTCCGGCCCTTGCAGGCGCTCCAGAGCGCCAGCGCGCTCAGAATCAGCACGCACGGAATTCCGATCGACAGGCCCAGAAAGTCGATCAGGTTCCGCACCCCCCGGTCCACCGGCCGGTCGCGGTGCCGCTCCGGGCCGGGAGCGCGGGGGGGCGGCGCGGACAGTGTCCCGGTCGGCAGCCCGTAGCTGGTGAACACCCAGTCCTTGACGGTGTACAGGCTGACGCCCCAGCCATTGGCGGCCGAGAACCCGACCCACATCGTCTCGGCGAACACGTCGTAGACGTCCAGCGGGAACTGCAGTAAGGCCTCTTGCGGGCGCGCCGAGGAGTTGGCGATGCGCACATCGAGGTCATGCGTGGTGCCGTTGTAGTCGATCCAGGCGTAAGTGGGCTGGCCGTCGCGGAAGTCGACGCCAACGTCGTACGCGTTGGCCACCACCTTGGAGTGCACGGTCTCGAGGTCGACACCGACGTGGTTGCCATTGGGGTCGTCGTAGTCGGCGTTCTTGAAGGTGTCGAACTCGACGGCCAGCGTCTTCGGGCCCTGCTGCCCCACGTCCGTCGACCCGTTGTACACGCCGAGAAACGCCCCCGGCGACCCGATCCAGTCCCGGCTGGCGATGGCCACGAAGGCCAGCCCGTCGCCGCCGTTGCCGAACTTGGTGCCCACCGGCGTTACCCGGAAGGTAAAGCTCGTGGTGAACGAGCCCGACTGCCGGGTTCCCGGGTCGACCATGCGCAGCCCCTCGGCGTACAGCGCCATGCCTCGCGCTCGTCTGAAGGTCAGGATGTCGACCTGCCTCGAGTCCGGCGTCAGCGTCAGCCGCCCGCCCTGCGAGCTCGCGTCGCCCAAGCAGATCATGTTCTCGTTGCAGTCGAAGTCGCCATCCAAGCTGAAATTCAGATCGGCTCCGATCGCGACCCGCAATTCGTCCACGCTCCCGAGAATTGCTATCAGGACATACGCATGCACGAGGAGCTTGAACATATTCTGCCCCGTTCCCCAGATCAGATCGGCACAATCCAGATCTCAATCTCGTCGATGAAAATCACAAAATTGCCACGTGTCGACGAATCTTCGCGCCGCCGACTGAAATCGTCCGGAATTCATACACTCGTACAGACCTGGACGAAGGAGACTGACAGTGAAGCTCCGTTGCATCACCGACGCTCGCCTCGGATGCCATGTGCGGTCTTGACTGGTCTATTGCCGACTTCAAGATTTCTCCGCCATGGGAACCGAGTTAATGCCCGTCGTACCCGAGAAATCCATCGCGCTCGCTCGCTCGCTCCTGCAAACTTTCTTCGACAATTCGCACCACGTTCGTACCGCGCACTAAATCAGAGGAACCAAAGTCACAGATCCAAGCCAATGATCGATGCCATCCACGGGACCTGAGAGTGTTCCAACGCTACGAATTACTACTACATTGGCGATCGACCTGCCACTGATGTGATGCAACAAAATCGATCTAGATAATCCGAGCGGCTTGTATCGGTCGCTCATGCTGCAAGGCAAATGCCAAACATCCCAACGACCTCCGAGTCCAGTCACTAAGATCGTCGATCGATCTAAGAGTGTAAGAAATCCACGCAATGTGCAAGTGTCCCTTGATGACTGAGATTAGAGACAGCTTCCCGGACTTAAAGTCGAGCGCGGACTTACTACGGACGTGAAATCTGGCAGAGCCTGGATGGGTCTTGCAGCATTAGCAGGTCCAGTTCAGCATCGTCTCACATTGACCCCTTCAATGATTCCTTCTAGTAGCCAGCCCTCTTGCTTCCAAAGTTCGATTCACAGTGAGTGAGTGCAGATCGACTTCTACTATCAGCACTGGCCATGGGTCGATCCTACTGTTGCCACTCAGCCATGATCTCATGATCAGTTCCCAGTGCCCGGCGTCGGCGGAGCTACAGGTCCGGCTTGCACAATGTGTGACTGACTGCGGGTGCATGCTGTGGAAGCCCCGATCCTTCAGAGTGTTCTGCTCAGTGCACGGAACAAATGCCTCCTAAAGACTCGGTGGATTATTCGGGTGCAGTGCAGTGTTCAGACTTCAGGATTGCAGTCGGTCGCTTACAGTGAGCATTTGGTACCCCAACGAGTGATCTATTTGGAGGTCATCGATGATCAGAATGCTGAAGCTTCCGAGCACACTTGACCTCATCGCGACTGGCCCTGCCAGTGCAGAGGCTCATGTTTGCCATGCGCAAAGGGGATCTGTAACATGAATCATGAACCTTTCTATATATGAGATTTTTCCAGCAATGAGACGCAGATATAGAGCGTGTGCGATCGGATTCCGTGCAACAGTTGTTCGTAAGCATATATTTAGGACCTGGGTATTGTTTCGACACCAGAGCTGTAGCTACAGAGCAGCTGGCTTCGAGAATTGTCCACGTGCGTGGTTGAGGAGGTGGCATCTCTGGACTGAAAGTTGCGTAATCGGTGCACGTGGATATGAAGACTGGCAAAAAGGATCGTGACAGTTCTCCAGCTTTCTCTTTATCTTATTGCCCAGGGGGGGATTCGCGTCAGGGTTTCCGACTCGTCTTCATCCTGGAAGCAAACAGGTCCAGATCTCGTAAGCATACATCGTCCTATATTCCTGATGTCACGATCAACCGAAAGCACTGTCATGAGGACTAGCAGTGGGTCGAGTTCTCCTCATGATCGTGGTTCATAACTTGGCAGATTAAGCGAAAGCGCTTTTGAAATGCGGAGGGAGCAGAAGATGAGATGATTTTCAAGTCTGGAGAAGTTCTGCACGTTCTGCTTAGCAATCCTTAACAAGAGGACGATTGCGAAGATCTTCGACATTCATACTGTTTAAGGAAGGATACATCCAAGTCGTTCGGCGAAGAGCACAGTGAGATATTTGTCACCGCCACGCTTTGTTTCTGGAATATACGTTCGCACTCAAGAAACTGCCATCCTGTAGAAGTCGTTGTTCTAGGAAGATACAAATGACAGATACAATTCATGGGCAAAGTCCTGGTTGTTATCTTGCCCAGCTACAATCGAGGAACTGCTCCAACGCCCTGAATGCATCGACGCGTGAAACAAAGGGTTGTAGTTTTTCTCTGTGAATTTTGGTGAGCAAACAAAATGTCATGCCACCAACTCTTTTGGGCTCAAATACACCTTCACCATCTGGATGTCGCTTTCCCGGGCACAGCATGAGTTTCGAATATCCATTACGGGACAAGTGCAGTCATCATTTATCTATCATGGTTAAGTGCAGTAGATCCATGCAAGTCGGTAAGAAGTCAGTGGAAACGCAGAAGAGAAGAGAACTGCAGACTCCTGCGAGTGATATCTTCACAGGATAATCCAAGACCTGCTTGTGTGAGGTAAGTGTCTCAGACGTTTCGTGGGTGAACTCGAGAGTTGGCACTCGATCTGGTGGTGCGATGAGGATGCCTACTTTACCATCTGGGGTCTAATCGGTCTTCAAGAAAGTTATTTGACCTTTCACACTTCCAACAACTAGTCCTAAAAACTCTGCGCCATATTAGAAACTATGCCCATGTAAGGCTACGTATAGCTAGAGTTGGTACTTTCACGCTGTGTAGTATGTGCAGCATGGAAATTCCAACATCCATCGGTGTCTGGCTGCAGATAACTATCGAAGGTACAATTTGCAGGCTTAACTTCCAAACCAATATCTGTACAGCCTTGTAGACCGTCTTCAAGTTGACAGTTTTATGTCAACAACATGTACGTCGTTGCTTGACTCTACGTTCCAGTTTGAGGTGTGGGAGGGATGTCATGTGTTATGATCATTGTGTTCCCGAGATTGAAGCTCTGGTGCACCCGAAACCATGTTAGATCATATGCTGTTACTGCGAGGCATTCAGCAGAACCCTCTAAGAAAATGAGAATAGCACAAAGTAATGCGCATCGGTCTATTTACGGCGTAATAACCCGAATAAGCAGACATATTACACTCACCTTGAGCATGGTACATATTTTCTTTGACTTCACGAAGCATGTGATACTTTAATCTCGAAAGCTAAGAAGGTGGCAGGTGATGTCTTTTTGCGATTTGACAAGCTCTGAAACAGTAGAAAGCTCTAGACTTCAGCTGTGACCACTGCGTACATGAAAATATATTTTTTCCCCACTTGCAATATTCACAGTAGATTCAAAAGTGGTAGAGGAGGTCGTAGAAAGTTCCAATGTACTTATGACTTTCAAATTGTCATCAATTTCCATAACCTTCTCTCCCTGTGCTCCGCAAGACACATACGGAGATTCTCGTTCCGATTTAGTAATGGCAAAGCAGCACAGCTAGGAGAATATCCGAAATGAACAAAAAACACCTAAGGCAGAAATCCTGAAACTTCGCAATGTATTAGGTTCTAGTATTCTCTTACCATCGAAATCCATCATCGAGTTTAAACCTTCGGATTTGACCAACGAGCCTCGTCTCGTTCCAAGGATCATTCATGAGAACCGTAGCGTACGGTATGTCACTGACCAAACCATAAAGCACTTTATGTCAAATAGACTCCTAGTTCACGCTCGATTTATGATAAGTCAGTGAAATCTCAGGGTAGTTTTAACGGTTTGGATATGACATACAGGCGGTGACGCAAATCAGATTATCACCTTTTGTTGATTCTATTCAAACAATGCTGAGCCTAGAGCATGTAAGGGTGCAATATGCAGCGTAGTCAATCGAACCATCACGGAAACCAACATTCATTCGAAAATGTATACTTGGGTTCACGGATGCCAATTGATTTGTGCTGTTCAGGCTCGTTAAGTACATAAATATGTGGTATATATGCGTCACAGTGGCAATCTTTTAGTGTCAAGGTATATAGTAAGAATATTTTTATATTTGTTTAAGATATGATTGTGAGACTTAGTGAAGTCTCTACTTATGCGTCCCACTGCTGCTTCACGGGAAATAATTGTTCTGAGTCAATAAATGTGGGGGAGAGCCAGATGCAGATCTCATCTGCAGTTTCAAGACGTAAGGAGATTGACTTGTGGCTTCGTCACAACTACAAGAGGGATTGGACACTGGCATCGCTTGTTTATCAGCGAGAATCCGAATCGTGTGGATGAAGGAAGGAAAACCGAGCGTACTTTCCCAAAAGGTCCAACACAACAAGAGATCAAAAGCGATTCAGTTCTTGGAACTGCAAAACCTGCCAGGACTAGAAGAAACTGATATCTAGTACAAGGTACGATCCAAGTCCAAGGGGATCGGCTGGATGTCAGCATGGGAAGCTCCCCGGAGAGGGATCGAAGCACCTGGCGCATCGTAGGGCGAGCTTGATGATCAGGTTTCGTGCAGAGAAGGGCAAGAAAGTGTACAATTTGCATCTCCAGCGTGAGGTCTGCTGCTCTCTTCAGATGTCGCCCGCACTTCGACAGCTGCCTGCTTGCTTGCTTGCTGCCTCGAGCTGAGAGAGATCTTTGCTGGCGTCAACAGGAAAAGACGAACTCCGGGGCATCCCACACGCAATCTCCAATGCATCACATCCAAAAGCGTACGCTTCACTCTTCACAAGCACGCTTCAGCATCTACATGGAGGCCACTGTTTCTCGCCACACTTCCGTGGCTTTCACATATGGTGGCGCTGTGAGCTGCAGTTCTTCCAAACCCGAAGCCTCCTCCTACCTTGGCCTCGACTTTTTCATCCACTGGGCTGTATATGGCCATGAAGCACCCTCAAGTCCAAGCCCTCGTGCCGACAGTCCACAGCTGCAGCTGCTGTACTATTCAGCCCTCGTATCTGTGAGACCAAGAAAAAAGCTCTGACTTATCTACCATGAAGTAAAGCGTCCTCCACGCCTCCACTGGACATGAAATTGTACCAAGATCGGCCGCGTCGTTGTGTCTGCAGCCGCCCATAAGTTTAACTTGGTCGCACGGTAGAAGCATCGGAGATCAGCTCCGCCCAAGTGGGTTTCACTCTCTTGACCGCCATCGACGACAGTAGTACCAAAATACAGCGATCCAGACGCACCCTCTCCGAGTTTCAGTTTCTTAGTGAAGCTGAGGGTTGCTTCAGTAAGTTCTTCGTACGTGAAGTGTTTGACATTTCGTATGTGGACCTGTTTTACCTTCTTCTGCAGAGAGGCCTTGAGCACCGACACTGAGTGAACAACGAGGAGGCTACTAGTAAAAAAGCCATGACGAAGGATACGATAGATGATTCGACAGAAATGTTCCTCGAGAAGGAACATTCCTTTGCCCTCAACCTCGCGATCAGCATTTGTGACACTGCAGCTGCAGCTAATTGATCATAAACTGCCAGCTTAGCACAGTGATCCAGTTCACTACTAGACCCCTTGTAGCTCGTCGTAGACATTGGCTAGATCTAAGGCGCACCTCAGCAGATGCCCATCTGGTCTAAAAGATTTGTAATTGCACGTCACCTCGAGACGTCTGCCTATCGTCTGCCTACTCGTTTGCGCACGCAGAAAACGTCGATGTTAACAGAATTTGGGTACTTTTTGTACAACTCAACAGCATTGTTGAGTTCGTGGATCAGAGGATTCGTGGATTTTTGGATTCAGAGGATCGATGTGAAGCAGGAAACTAGTTCTACTTGTTGACGATCGTCGGGTTCGTGTATCCACCAGAGTGACGGGCTCGACATACAAATCTACGCCTCCGGTTCCTGCCTGTGGCTTCTGTCGTTCTTCCGCACGAATCGATCGAGCACTAGAGTTTCGAGATGGAAGGTGGGAATTCCAACATCCATGGCCAAGGAAAGGGAAATCTCCAGCTCGAGGACGCCGCCATCGTCGATGAGTTCTTGATCTTCAATAGGGACTGAACGTGGTTCGCAAGTGCGAGATTCGATCGAATCCAACGGCCGAAAGACGAAGCTTACACTCGCCAACGTAGTCAGTCAACCCATGCCGAGCAACTGCGTAGAGCTCCACCGTCGCAATAGAATCAATCGAGATAAATACGTAGATATTTCTCTTCGCCAAATCAAAGCAAAGACATTTGAGTATAGGAATATATATTGTGATATCGTCGTAACAATGGAATCATGTTAGCGAAAAGAGTTCAACATACATGATACTTTTTACCTTTACATAAAAATTTTATCTACAATTATATATTGCATATAATCTTTCACCCAAATTGTACCGGCTGGAAACAACGTTGGGATATGGGCATAATCACAGCTTTGAAGAAGTGATTTAAATATCTTTATCTCAAGTAACTTTTTAATTTTTCTCAATTGGAAGATGAAGCAAAAATTTGCAAGAAAGAGAATAGGCAAAGATTACGACGGAATGTTGCTAGAGCTGCTTATGGAAATCCAAATCATGTTATTGAAAGTGCGAATTATGTCAAGGAAGCATGGCAATCTGTGTCACACATGTCCATCAAGAAGTCATTTATCAAAGGGGACATCATGCTATTAGAAATTGATGAGGAAGCAAATAACTAAGACAGGAGTTAGTGAGCAAAGTTGTACAAGCTCTGTCTGCTCTAATCTTTCCGTTTTGCAAGACGAGTTTCAAGAATTTGTTCACATCGATGATGAAAACAACGATGAATGTGTAGGTGTAGTTTTGGAAGATGTTGACCAACTTTTGCAAAGGATGAAGATTTTAAAGAGAATCAAGAGGATGTCAATGAGGATGAGAATGTAAGATCAGAAGTGACATATGGAGAATTAGGAATCAGCTTTGTGTTCAAGGTATTGGAATCACTTTATAAGCAAGTTGTTGATATAGAAGACCAATTGATCTGGTCAGAGGTTCAAGCGGAGGCTGAGGACACATTTGATGATCTTAGAAAGTTATTTGAACTGTTTCAAAGTAAGGTCTGGGCTTGAAAGCCACACGCAAACAACTTCAAAACTTGAAACAAATGACAAATCATGACATGATGAATAGAATATACATGAACATTATTTTTTTCAAAAAATATTGCGTACTCGCGTATATTCTATTCAATATTGCGCGATGCGTACCTAAACAAGTGCGTACTTAATCGGAAGGTTACCGTGCATTTCACAAAAACTTTCCTAGAAAAATATGTAGTCAACCATTTGCTATTTGGAAACCTCGCATGTTGTTTCCAATCGAAGTTCTATCTATCTTTAAACTAAATCGACTCTTAAGTTCATATATTACAATATAAATTTTAAGTTACAATACTAAAAAGCAAATTTGAAGCCAAACTTATTATACAGAGAGAAGCTAAGCGTCCGGGGATAAAAGGTGCTCAGGGAGATTGGCGGTGGCGGCCAAAGACGCTCGTCCGCCGTTGAGGCGGTGCGCTTGATAGAGCACGTTCATGGCGCACAATCTTGCAGACAGATTTAGATTCGTGAGCGGCATTGTGAGGCGAGTCGATTGAGGGGTTTTTCTCGTTCAAATTCTTCTTTCACGAAGAGAGCGAGTCAATTAGGGTTGTCACGATGAAGGATTCACGGGTTAGTTTTAGTACGGCATTGAACACTGGTGCGCGTGAGAGTGGGACCTGGTTGGCCATTGTGCTCGACCCGTGCATGGAATTCCTGAACATCGCATTAGAGACAAGACGTTTCAACCGAGGACCCATTGATCCACTCCGCCCCACGTAGGGAGAAATCCTCAAACGCGATACCTTTCGAAACCACCAAAGAGTTCTCGTCCGAAGTGCTGTCTCTTTCAGTCTCTCTAACACCGATCATAACATTGTTGATGCAGACATTCATCTCCTCTCCAAACGCGTCGTCATAGTGTTTGTGGTGGAAGGTCAAATACATATCAATCCTGGATCGCACTAGTGGATGTGATTGCACACCTTGGCCCAGCCAGGGGAAGTCCATTTCCTTCACCATGCAGGATCAAATTTTGCCTATTTCAAGACAGATGGTCGCGCCATCACCGATCACATTTTAACATTCGCTATCCACTGCTTTGCAACAGGCGCGGTCTTTTGTGAGCGCTGATCTAGGGGATTCAATTCTCGTAGACCGCACCACATCATGTGGCCTACATGGATGACCTTGCCCGATCTACCACTGAAATTTACTCATATTGCGCGCAGCGTGGCCGAACAAATTGTCCCAATACTTGCTGAAGACAACGACGACACACTTGAAGCTCCACCGCGGTTCTATGTGGGGATAGACATCCGCTAAGTATGGGTAACAAATGTTGTCGGTTACAGCGCGATCGGTGGGAGTGCAACAGTGGCCATACACTACGAGACGATCGACTTCTACTGCCAAATTTGTGAGAATCATCAACATTCCACATTGGCATACCGAGCTTCATCATCACGGAGTTCTCCTCCTCAACCGCCTTCCAGCGTCCCTTCATTGCAAGACTATGCCTCTACAACATCTCAGCAAGCTGCACCTCCTCTACCCATGCGGGATCATGCCGCCACGACAACTCCAACCCCGTATCAGCGGGAAGCTAAGCCCTCTTGTTCGAACGCTCATCACAAACGTCGTCATCATGAGAAATCTCCTCAAATCAACTCAGGCCCCATATTCGAACGCTCATCACAAACGTCGTCATCATGGGAAATCTCCTCAAATCAACCCAGGCCCCATATGCACCCCGGATGCTGAAGGCTTTAGTTTAGTACTCATTCGACGCCGCCAGACAACATTCTTCGATGTCCGCCCTGTAGAAGCACCTCAGACCCCTTTAAATCACCCCATTGTTGCCGACGCCAGTCACGCCAGCATCACCGGTGCCTGCGGTTATGTACAGTCTCAGCTTGTGCCTAGCGGCTATCAAAGTAGCGGGACCCTCACGGCCTTCTTACCCAAAGCGATCACGGCAAATACCCTTCAGGTGGGACATCACTCGCGATCAAATGGCAGCTCAGTCCCAACCCACTACGGCCGCAACGATCATCCCAACAATGGCGAATACTCCAATGATTGCGAGGCCATCACAGCTTGTGGCTCTCGTTTCAACCCCAGATGTTGTCACAAGGGCACCATCGTCGTTCCTCGATGCGTCAACCGAAGTTGTCATGCGTGAAGAGAGTTGCCTCCCTAGCTCCATCCATACAATCACCTTAACGACACAAGTCGTAGCGGCAATCATTACTCAAAAGGCGATTCTCGGGAGACCCCATTGTATGGATGGAATGCATGGGAGAAAGTATTTTGGACAAAAAAAACCATATTGTTGCGGGACCGGCCCAGCTCCTCCACCAGCAACTACAAAATTGCTACACTCATGTGGACACACGAGCGAGGTCAACTTAGCGATGGAGGTTGATTCCACGAAAACCCAACATAGTGGCGGCGAATGATAATGCACAAGCTTCCGATTCTTCATATCGAGTGAGATCCTGCCATTCTCGATACCGAATCTAAAAGGGAGGATCAGATATTGGACCAGTTGTCAGTTACACAGGCTGCCACTATGGTCTTTGACTCCACTAGCGGGTGACTAATGACTTTAGCTAGCCAGATCTATCCCGCCAACACTAGGCTTCGACCCCGTTGTCATCTCGCATCCCCGATCAAAATGGACTGCCAACGACATCTGCTAGCAACAGCGACCTCTTCGTTGATGCGGTCCCTCAACTCCCATCATCATCGGTATCATCGGATGAAGGTGAAGATCCAGCGCCACTGCCAACACAACCGGCCCCATCAATTCCATCACCATCACCAACTCCGGGGGAGACTATCATGGATGTCAAAATCTCTCATCCCACGGAAATTCCAGCGTCTGAGCCGACATACACATCCAGACCAAAATCAGCCCCGAAGAGCATCGCGGGCCGCATCCTATCCTTTCTAGAATCTTTTGATCCCACACCGACCGATCAAGATACGCCAACTCAGCCCCCTTCCTCTCTATGGGGTCTTAGAGCTGCGGCTAGGCAAGTTATCACACCCCCACCAACTGTCCCCTCATCGTAAGATGTCTGAGATTTCCAAAGGGCATCTAACATGAGCTGCAGGGACGTCAATACCCCCTCTGACCGTCCATGAAGCTACAACTTCTATCCATCAACGTGCGCGGATTGATCGAGGACTCAGTCGTGTCACATCTCCGATCCTACCTACAAGACTGTACGACTCCTCTTGACATCGTGACTGTGCAAGAACACAAGGTGCAAGGAGCTAAGCTCCTTCAAGCGCCGGTCAAGCTTTGGCGTCACACATTACACTTCGGTCTAGATGCCTCAGTCGGGTACGGTCACAATCGCTCGACCCGGGCCCAGGGTGCGATGACGTTCTCACCTTAATCCACCCACGATGAAAACTGCAGATCGGTTCCTCATGGAATATCACGTACAATGGTTTGTTCTTTGAGGCTTACCCAGTGGAGACGTGGGCACTGCCAACATATATGTTCCGAATGATTCTCCCGCTAGGTGCTTGCTTTGGAAGGCCCTACCTCGCGAGTTATCACAGGCTTGTCGCTTGATCTTGCTAGGGGACTTCAACATGGTGGAAAGGAGAGACAAAACCCGCCAAAATGCTTCAATGATTCCAATGTGTGAACGAATCCTCTTCAATGCTATAAAGATCTCCCTCAATGTCGACGATCCACCACAATCAGCTCACAGTTTGCCGTACTCATGGCACAACATGCCTAATATTGCTCGCTTCCTAGCACGACTCTACCAATGCTACGTCTTTTATCTAGCGCCTAACACCTTCGATAGGCTCATCCTTCACTACCGTGTGAAGCAACATAGCGCGCTCGGATCATAATCCAGTATTTGCCACCATCCAACTTGCTGCCTCATCACGACGCACCTTCCACTGGAAGATGAGAACCATCTGGTTTGATGCGGAAAAACCAGAGATCAAACGTATGTGGCAGGAGACCTTTGCTGGAACGTTTTTCTTCTCCAAGCTTCGGCGCATCACTCGATTCTACCGCGGATTCTGCAAAGCTAAAGCATGTGCGTTGCGATCGGACGAAAACGCTCTGATCATCGAATTGGAGGCTCTCACACGGGCTTCCCATGCTAACCCCCTCGATGCAACAATGCTTCACGATTGAGGCGAGTGCCGCCTCCGCCTGCAAAACTTTCAGGATCTACAAATTAAAAGCGTCGTGCTCACTACCGCATCCAATAGAATACTCATGATGACTCCGTCGCCAAAGAATTTTTCAGAGCCGTCCGACCCCCCTCTACCACATTTCATATTTCAACGCTCAAACTCGACTCCGGCACTCGGGTGACTCACCAGGATGGGCTCAAAGGCATTGTCCTCGACTATTACAAATTGCTGTTTGTTGCCACATATGACACACTAGCAATTGTTCATGCCGAAGACACCTTATTGGAACTCATCCCATCATCATTCAAAACGCAATGTCTGTTGCATCTGTTAGCTGCCCTCAGTCGCAGTCCTGATGGCAAAGAGATCTGCAAGACCTTGCGTGACATGGCCTCGGGAAAAAGCCCCGACCCGAATGGAGTTTTGACTGAGTTCTATGTCAAATTTTGGGATCTAATCGGAGCAGACTTTACCGAAATGATCCGGGAGGCCATCGTCCAAGGATCTATTCTTTCAGGGCTGAATCACGGCGTTATCATCCAGCTTCCTAAGGAGGTCGACCTCGAACTTATTTCTCACTGGCGCCTTATCACTCTTCTGAACACCTCCTATGAGATCATGGCAAAGGTGCTGCAGATGCGACTACAAAAATTGTTGCAGGACGTTATTCACCGGCCGGTACGCTTTCCTGCCATCGCGTCACATCTTGAAGTCTATCATGATCCAACACAAGATCATTGCGTGGGTCAGTGAGACTAACCAACCGCTTTTGATGCTAAAGTTGGATTTTTGAAAAGCTTAGGACTCAGTTCGGTGGTCTTTCCTCTTTCGAGTAATGGACAAAATGGGTCACTCGCTTGCCTTCACGTCTATGGTGCGCATGCTCTTGATTGGCGCTTCTGCATGCATCTCCCTCAACGGTCTTCATATTGCTGACTTCTCCATCTGCCGGGTAGTTCGTCAAGGCTGCCCCCTTGCACCTTATCTTTTCTTGCTGGTGGTGGAGGCCTTGGTGACAGCATCTCATCAAGCTATGGACCAGGGCATAATCTGAGGAATCCGTGTGCCAAAAGGCACTTCACAACAGTTAGTGTTTCAATTCGCGGACGACGTCATTTTCTCTTTATACGGCAAAGAGCGATACTTAACTTCCACTTCGACAATGCTTACAGCATTTGGGCTTGATACGAATCTAACACTGAACAGACAGACATGCAGCATCTTCTGGTTCTCCAAGCATCCTCCTTCGGCTTGGATATGTATCTTCGGCTGTATGTTGGTGCCGCTTGGGATGCTTTCAAAGCTGCTTGGAACTCCGTTTGGGGTGTCGCTACAGACCGCTGATGTTGACCAATTTTATCGCAGCGAAGATAACAACCGAACTCAGGTCCTGGTCATCGCTCCATTTGTCGCTAGCCCCGCGCGCTGTCGTGGTAAATTCCATGCTTCTCTCTACACTCTGATATTTTTTAAGTATTTGGGCAGGGTTCTTCCACGATCTTGAGTTCCATTCGAAAGTGCACTCCGCAACTATCTATGGGCATGGACGGAAGAGCACGCCCATGCTAGGATACGATGGGAGGATGTGTGCGCATCAAAAAGGATTGGAGGGTTGGATATTGTTGATCCTTTCGACGCCCTGACTGCGTTGATGTGCAAGTGGATTGTCAAAGAGCTGACACCCAGATCCTCCCCGTTACTCATGCTCCTTTGCCATCGACTCGCTAACCTACGGCCTCCTGGACAACACAGGTGGCCACGAGGGTTCCAATGGGTCCTCCTATTGAAGTTCTTAGCCTCCAACGGCTCTCCGTTGTGAACCCAGCTCGTGCGTGCATGGCACTTGTTGTGACCCCAAGTCACAACCGTTCCACCTACATCATTCGAAAAGGTCCATAACACTGAGCTTTTTTGGAATACTCATTACATTGGCTCCAATTTTGAATTCTCTCAAGCGCGCGCCCGTCAACTCGCGACTTAAGGGCTTACTTGCCTACAGGATCTTTGGATGGAGGATTCAATGGAGCTCCGACCCTAGGACTCCTTGCAGCAAGATTACGGCCTCGACGATATCGAACTGCGACTCATAGAATTGGTCTAATCCAAGGTTCACGAATCCTGGAAGGTGATTCATCGGGACACGCAATCCAGGCCAAAACTTGAAGAATGGCTCGACATTTTTGAAGATGCAGTTACCTCCGACCCACGCCAAGCCTCTTTTTCTACTCTGTAGTGAGAGTCCGAGCCTGCTCAACCTCCCCAACGGTAGCCAAACATATTGCTGCCACTTACAAGTATCTCAACCCATTACTACATTAATCTTCGATCCAGGCAGGTGGCGCTGGCTCAAGGGCAATGCGTTCCACGCTTATACGGCACAACGCGGGAGGTGCTAATTTCGCCCGCAACAGGCTCTTACTCTCCCAATTCATCAGAAGTGTCATGGCCTTACGCCGACAAACTTTCTACCTAATTGGATGGCGGTCTGGGATATAGTGCGAACTCGTAAAGAAGCTCCATTCTTGTGGAGTCATTATCACATGGCCATCACGGTGAACCAATATCATCATGTAGCTTTTCAAGGCACAACAGACCAATGAACCTGTTGCGCACTGGACATCCATGAATCACTTACTCATGCTTTCTTTGATTGCAAGGCTGCTGAGGATGCATGGGCATATGACACCACCATCATGTATCACATTGCCAACCTAGAGACTTGACCAACGCTTATCGGGGATGCCTTTAAGTGCATGATCTACATCTCAACTTTTTCATACGAATACGTATTGCTATACATTCTACATTGCTAACATGTTACTCACATACACACAGACATAACATGATGAAGTATACACCCAAATATATCACAACGATGACGACTCGAAGAACTGACGTTCATCGAGTCATCATTGACATTAAACCTTACAAGAACAATAACCCTAGGCCGACTGCTTTTTTTAGTAAATACCAAAATTACGTGAGAATTTTGCATTGTTCCGGCAATCTTGGTCACTCCTCCGAAGCTCCATTATGTGGGTGATATGGGTGCGAAGGAATGCATCCATCTTTCAGAACTTCCAATAGCCAAAAATCCACTTGAAACAAGCGCTCTGGGATGGGATGCCATAGTGGACCTCGCTAAATCTGCATGGGAGTGCTCCATTTGTGTGAAAACAAGAATCCTCAAGCTGCTGCGCACGCCAGAGACAGATTCTTCATCTGCTGGGCCCAATCACCCCCATGTCCTCTGTCTATGATGATTGTGTCAAATGGCATCATGATCGCTCACTCTGTGGCTCATTCTCTTAGTTACTCCCACGTACTATATTCTACAGATTCTCAGGTTTTCTTATCAGGTAGAAATCAAAAAATAGGTTGGTCGGCGGGTATCTCATCTTGCGTGGTTTGCAGCGGTGATGTATTTTTTTTTATTGCAATGGAATTTTCACCATTTGACAAAAAAACGCAAATTTGTAATCAACTAGTCAAGGACTTATGAACATTAGTATGCAATAACTACATCAAGTCTATTAAGGCTATGAGTCATGTAACCATTATTTTTAGAACTGAATTATTTTTTAACCAACTAAATGGATGACCTAAGTCTAGTTTACCACAAAACATATGGTTTCGTGGAAGAGAAAATCACATAGCTTTACACATCACCCGAGTCATAATGGCAATGAAAATATTACCAGATTCACATGCGTTCATGGAAAATATAGATATATTGCCTTTGTAATCTCATTAAAAAAAAGTTCAACTAAGGACAGAGAGGTGGCTGGCTCGTCACTAAGGGCTCCCCACTTTCGGAGGAACGCGATGTCTGCCCGGGAGGGCCTGCAGCCGACCTCCCGGGCAGGGCCGCCATGTTCCCGGGCGAGGGTCTCCCTGCACCATATATTAAACTGTTTACAATACCTATTAACCACGTTACGATGATGTAGACTAAATTAGTGAGTGTCAAATTGCTAACCAAAGCCATTTTTTACTCTCCTCATAACACTATTCCATCCCCCCTTTGTGTAATCTTTCATTATGAGTTCCCTTGCATCATGATAATACATGAAAAGACTTACTTAAATGCAGAAATCGAAGAGAAATAAGAAGATAAGATGGCTTTGGGAAAAAAAGTACTTGGTTTTTTTTGGCTTCAGGAATATGAGCCGGCTTTGCAAGGAGTATGTAAGGATCGGCACGTTCGGTACATTTCTCATTCATTTTCCAGTCCGAGGAGTAACTTCAATTCTTCTAGAAGTACATCCCGTGGAAGATCAAGGGAAAGAAGTGAAGAAAGTTCTATATTATGGCACTTAATTATAGTGATCGTGTTTACTCATAGTAGGCCTGCATAATCATATTCGCTAAGTGGATACGACATTTCACTTTTCATATCATTATGATGTATCGGAAGATCGATGAATCTAGCAAACAACGAAAAGTGTTGTTGGCATGGCATTGTTGGACCGAGTAGTGCAGGGTTTAGTGATTTATCAACGTGAAACTCATATCCCCTCCCGTGAAAATCCTGGTACTTGGATGATGTATGCTCCGTGTATCGTACATGGCATTTTCGAGACGATAGATAGACGTATGAGGTAATGAGCAGCCATCTTGCGAAAAAAAACCATATTTTGAGTTTAATGATAAATTATCATTACCTTAAACTAGGATCAGAGTTTTATCTTGGTGAAGCCCCAAACATGCTCCTATATTTCTCCTCCCCGTTGTGAGGGGAGGAGAAAAAAAATACATAGTACAAGTTCCTGCGGGAAGGGAGGCCGCGAGGGAGAGCCCTTAGTGAGCGGGCGAGGTAAAGCGGGAGGGCCCTCCGTGGTCGAAGCGGGAGGTCGGGCTGCGGGCCCGGGCGGGCAGAAAGCCATCCCGGGCAGACCTCGCGAAAGTGGGGAGCCCTTAGTGACGAGGGTGGCTGGCCCATCAAACACTAGAATATCTGCAAACGCAGAAATGAATATTAAATAGGTCCACGCTGAAGTATAAAAAATAATATTCTAATTTTACCTTTGACCACTAATGTCACATAGAGAAACATTCTAAAGCTTTGGAGAAACTAACGTCGTACAAAGTGCGTTCCGTAGTCGGAATTATACAATATCGTACAAAGGTGCCGACGACCGTATGAAGCGCTCGAACTTACTATACGGTGAGCGTATGAGCGACGGTGCGACGAGGATTCCTCCACTTTCGAGTGTCAAGGCGAGGGATGCCCATCGTTCATGCGAATGCGAATGCGAATACGAATCGTCAATCCCTTAGACCCGCACGGCGATGCGTGAATGTTTCAATTGAATGCCGGTAAGCAATTCTCTGGCTCGGCCCTCTAGTGGCAAAAATCGTGGACGAGGCGTGGAAGAATTCGACAGCCGAATCGTATCGGGAAAATCGAAGAATTGAGCTAGATAAGCTTGGACATGGTGCAGTTTGGGAGGCGAAAGCTCGGTTGGGCCTCTGGGTTGTTTGTTGAGCTCCCTGCAGTTGGGCGTGTCGATCGATTGCGAAGAAATTCGCCTCCATACCCTCCTCCAGCCCTCGCCGCGAACCGCATTCTGTCTGGCTAGCTGAGCCCGTCGATTGTGGTTTGGCACATTGGCACGGTTCCAAGCTGGAGGGCCGCCTTGTCTTGTGGTTCTGATTGCATCGCCGTTGCGTTTCTGCAGGGTCCACGCTGATATCATATCATCGTGTTAGGTCTTGAATGGCGTCCCCTTTCGAGCTGTGCAGTCATGGCGGGTGCTAGTTTGTTGGGGTGAATAATTCCAGAAGGTGCTGAAGAATTCACGGAGGATGCTTCGAGGCCACCTCATCACAGTCGCCTCGCCCTTCATCATGTTTCTCTGAGAACTATCAGGTTAGCATCAATGTCCTTTTTACACCCTGAAACCCTGACTTTACCGAAGTCTTGAAGCTGGCAGTAGGCCCATTCTGCCCGCCGGAGCTTCTTGAGGAGATTCCCCGAGACAATGATGAAATTCCCGAAGGGTTTAGAAGGGTACAAGCCCTCGCACTCAGCTGCAACGAGTGGGGCTGTTGGTGTCTGAAGCGCTGAGAGCGCACTCGTGTCATTGTGATCGAAAGCGCGAATCCCAGACGAAACGGTCAATTTTTGCCACTCATTGCTCCTGCGTATAATGGAGCCATCTCGTAGTTCTGCTTCAGCCCTGGAAATTGTAACACTGACAGGACGGATGAGAATACGAAATGCCGCTAAACCCTCGTGAAATTGTTGCAGTTCAGCGGAATCTGGGAGCGAGTCTGGGTAAATTTACCCTCGGTGCCAGTTTACATGTCAGATTTTTGCATTTCTAGCATTGAACCTCGACTTCGCTCGGTTGTCTGCACGGAGTTGTGGTCGAAAGCGTTCCATCTCGAGCCAAGAGCATCATATTTACGGAGAAGGGTGTCCTATGGCTTTCCATTTAGCCCAGGTGTCACACAATGCTGCAGTCACAAGGAGCTGGGGCAGTCGACGCGGTCGCTCCGGGCCGGACGAGTTGGCTCTGCATTTGTGGCAGCAGCCAGTGTGCCAACGAAACCGAACAGGATGGTCACCGAAAAGCACGAATTTGATGACATCCAAGATCTCATAATTTCGCCTCCTTCGGTGACATCCAGCAAGCATGTTGGAAGGCAGCTGCCGACGCTTTTGGAAAGAGAAGCGAAGGCTCTGGGAGGCTCGACAGTTTTCTCACGCAAGGAGAGAATTGAGGCTGTGAATGGTTTGCTGGATCTGCTGGAGATTAAAGGGGTCAGCTCGGGTTACGCCTTCGAGTTTGTCAGACATGCAGGGGATCTGATCGACGACTTGATAGTGGAAGCCAAGCAAAAGTTTGTTGAGAACGTGGTAGATCTGAGCTCCCCGTTTGAAGAGGCTTTGGCAAATGCGAAGGCCCCGGAGGGTTTGGGATCGCTGCCGAATGAGGTTTCAATTGCGGATCTCAAGAGAGAAAAGAAGATCAGCAAACTATTGGAAATCAGTCAAGAGGAGGAGTCGAAACTGAGTGGAGACGCAACGTTAAGCGAGAGCATCAGCGAGTTGGCGTTCAGAGTTTCAGTATGTGCGGAAAGGAGAGGACTTGCTAGGCTTGTTCACTACTTCCAGCTCATAGGCATGAAAGCCCTGAACATTCCCAAAGTGCTGCCTCACGTGGAACCAGGAATTGACAAAGTAATGGCCAAAGTGGAATTTCTGAGAAGCTTGGGAGTGAAATACCTCCACCTCCCAGTAATATTGGTAACGTGGCCGCAACTTCTCTCATATCAGTGTGATACTTTGGCTTTGAACGTCGATTACCTTGTGAGCCTTGGACTTGCTCACAAAGATATAGGCAAGATGGTAATCAAGTTTCCTCAAATCTTAGGACGTGATGTCCAGACTGAGCTTCATAAGTCTGTAGAAATTTTAGAAAACTTGGGAGTGCAATTACGAGATGTCAAGAAGCTGGTGGTTCGATATCCGGTGCTTCTAACAGAAGATGCCCCAAAGAAGTTGGACCCGCTTGTCAACTACCTTACGGAATTAGGCGTACGTAAAGAGCACATTGGTACCGTGCTGATTAGAAGACCATTACTGCTGGACAGCGACGTGGAGAAAGATCTGTTGCCTGTAGGCAATTATCTCAAAAGCCTGAACGCAAGTCCAGATGACATTGACAAGATTCTCATGTCGTTTCCTCAGTTGTTCTGCTACGATGTTGACCAGGCGAGTGAGTGCTCATCAGATCTACATGGTTTCTATGTTTTACACCAAGTTCTTCTATGTGCACTCCTTATTTGTGGAATACATTGTATGTACTGTAGGAAGGTATGGCAAGTTTCGTAGAATGTGTTATCATGTTTGCTCACATGGTAGCTATATTTAAAGCTTCTCAGGAATTTTGTGTTCCGTGAAAGCCAACATGGCGCAAACCGATATCAAGTAAAGCCATCAGATATTGCTGTGAAGTATCCAAGAGGTCTTCCTCCGGATGTATGCATGTCAACCACCGGTGGGATTATTGATTGGTTCTGGTATTCAGGACTTTCGACCAACCGTGCTGCACCTTGAGAGCTTAGGTGTTGAACCTTCTCTTATGGGCAAGCTTTTCAGGAGACATCCTCAACTTCTCAAAAATCGGCGGAGTCTTGAGCTGAAGTTGGACTTTCTTCTTAGTCTGGGTCTAGAACCGAAAGATCTCGGTAAGGTGAGGGTCTTCGTTCATTATGTTTGGGCCGCTTAGTTTTCCTCCAAACGTGTGTTTGTGGTTTCATGAGAGTTGAGCTCATTGTTTACTTCACGAACTCGGTACGTCATTTGTCTCGTTCAATAACTGGAGATGACATGTTCTATATACTCGTGGTTTTACAGAAAGTCACAAGACGACCGTGCTCCAGATTTACTGTTTTTAGCAATTTGCACGAGAAATTGTGTTGAAGTCGTAGGTGGTTGTGCAGGTCATTTATAATGCACCTCAATTACTGTGTTTGAGTGTTGGGGAGAATATGTTTCCCACTGTGAAATTTCTGGAGAGTATCAGTATCGAAGGACCCTCGCTTTTGAAGGTAAGAATTCGATTGAAAGTGGACCGTGACCACAGCAAGTTGTGCTGAGAGACGTTTGATTTAGCACAGTCTCGTTGTGTACCTGTCAAGGAGACCCGAAGAGACATCGGTCTGCAAACGAGGTGGCTGATCGGCACCTGACTCGATGTTAGTGTCATGCAAATCTCAAGTGTCGAGTCTTTGAACGTTTGCTGTTGCTGTTGAACGTTTGCTGTTGCTGTTGTCTCAGGTTCTGAAACTCAAACCAATGATTCTCGCGTACAATGTTGAGACCAAGCTGAAGCCAAACGTGAAGTTTCTGAGAAGCATCCAAATCAAGCAAGGAGAGATTGGAAAGTGCGTTGATTTGGCTTCACATTTTGGTTCTGTTTCGTAACTTGTGCTGAAGCCTTCTCTGAACAAAGCTCCTGAATGAGCTGTGCGAAATTTTCGTCGACGTGTCTAAATGCCAACGTTTTGTTTTGAAGGTTGGTGGCTAGACATCCACAACTACTCACATTGAGTATCGACAGGAATTTAAAACCTACCGTGAATTATCTTCTCAAGCTTGGGTTTACAAGGTACAGAAATAGCATATCCAGTTCGAAGTATTGCCTGCTTGTGTGGTGTTTCGATGGTTGGATGTCTTTCAGTGCTAATGTCCAGTGACATTCCACTGTTTGCAGAGGGGATGTGGCGGATATGGTGAGGAATCTGCCTTCCATATTAGGATTCAGCGTAGTAACCGTCCTAGCACCGAAGTATGGCTACCTGGTGGACGTCATGAAGCGGTCAAGGAAGGAGGTTGTGCAGTTTCCCCAGTTCTTCAGCTACAGCTTGGCGAACCGGATCATTCCCCGGCATCAGCGGCTTGGGAAACTCTTTGATCTGGTCTCTCTGAGTAGTGTGTACGGCTGCAGTGATGACGCATTCGAGAAAAAGGCAGCAAAGTGGGACCAGTGTGGTCCTTCTCTCAGATCTCCTAGGAAGAGGACTAACTAGCGCTCCACGATCATCACTTAAAGGAAGCTCTCAAAAGAAATCACATAATTATAGGGCCTGACTTGATTTCTACACGAGGTCCTTTGAGACCAGGCATGCAACATTTCAATCTCTCAAATAGTAGATATTTGTTTGATGTGACCCCATCCAATCGCAAATTGTTTGATGGGACCCATCAAGTTTCAATGTACCCGATAGGACCTCACGGACGATCCACGTCACACTGTTCTAGTATGAATAGATGACGGTGTTTTGCCAAACAAAACGAACAACTACCCAGAAGCGAATGGTGAAGCTTTGTGTACCATTAGTGCCTAGTTGTTGACTCCAATGTGTTTGAACGGTGTTTTGCCAAACCGAACAACTACCCAGAAGCGAATGGTGAAGCCTTGTGTACCATTAGTGCCTAGTGGTTGACTCCAATGTGTTTGAACCCTTGTGTACCATTAGTGCCTAGTGGTTGACTCCAATGTGTTTGAACGGTGGTGAATAAAATTGCGGGGGGCATCGCTGTGAAAGGAAGCAAATCTTACACATTGTCCAACTTTCAGACCGGTCAAGGGTGAAGACCGCTCTTTATAAAACTCCAATGGCTCGTCACACAAATTATAGCAAAAATACAAATTCCAATGGCTCGTCACACAAATTATAGCAAAAATACAAATTCGAATATATTTGTACAAGAATACATACCTACAAGAATATCTATTAGAACATATTGTTACAAAAGTCAAACAAACTATCGCAAAAACAAAAATTCGAATATATTTGTACAAGAATACATGCCTACAAGAACATCTATTAGAACATATTGTTACAGAAATCAAACAAACTATCGCAAAAACACAAATTTGAATATATTTGTACGAGAATATATTTAAATACAAATTTGAATATATTTGTACGAGAATACATGCCTACAAAAACATCTATAAGAACTTATAGATGTTAATCTTATATGTACAAAAATATACTATTAGAACACACACGGTGTACCGTCCGTGATGTCCCGTGGGGAAAATTGAAACTTGATCGATTCCGTGAAGCAATTTATGTTTGGATGGGGTCCCATCAAACAAATAACTCCTCAAATAGTGGATACCAGGATGTATTTATCCTGTTCTAACGTTCTTATCTTTAGTCATTTTGAGCACCGAAGTGGAAACTTTGTTGTTTACAAAAACTAGCAGTCAGTAGGGTACCCAACATGTGCAATCCGATTGCTATTCTAAAAGTTGTGGCTCTCAACGTGATGGATGAAGATAAGTGTTACAGTCGACTCCCGCTCTAAACCAGAACTTTAAGCACTCAACAACTTCGGCTCCGAAACACTCTATTGACACGACAGCGATGAGAGCTATCTCAGTTTCATGCTCATGTGATGGGATTATTACTCAGAACATGCTTTGAACATGCTTACGGACATGAGTTGTACCAGCAATAAAATGACACTGTCATAAGTGCTCATTAGCAACATAAGAAATTGGTGTGACGAAACAAAATTGTCACGATATGTACAGTCAACTCCAAAACTCGCTTGTCTCAAGTCGATCCGGGTTTTACAGTGAGAACTGCTGGCGATAATTTCCAAACACAAATTGTCCTGTCCCACTAACGGGTTTCCCAGGAGACAAGACATTCCGTTCTTCCTAAGCCCAACACTTACCTCTCCAACAAACTGTTGGGTTACTCTACAAACTTAACTCGCATTGCACCAGAAGGTTTCTTCTCTACAGTGCTTCTGATGGAAGGAAACTGGCAGTAAACAGCCCTAGAGATTGAGAATTTGTAGCTAGCCTTCATCGTAGTATAATCCTTACATCCGAGTGATGTCAGGGCTTGGTAAAGTACAATACCTTTTCCATTGGGCATGACACCACAACTATGTCCACCCACACTATTGAAAGGGTTTCAAAGAATCTGAGGTACACTTTGTCTAACTTCGTTGGAATATTAACACTTCCAGCCTACTTACAGACGGTTGGTGAGCCTAAATAATCGCTTCATCCCCCTGTAGTGCTTGAGCGAGGTGTGCAAAGCATGGTTCTGTTTGTGAGTGGTTAATTAGTAAGAAAATTAGTTCTTTCAGCTCTGCCTTGAACTCCTCATCGATTCTCCTGGCAAATGCCCACGGATGCAGAGAATCACGAGTCAGCATATTGCGGGAGTTCCAGTACCGTGTTATCAGAGGAGGAGAGACAACGCATCTATGGCACAGTCCTGCGTTTTGTCAGATAGTCGAACCAAGTCCGACTATCTGACAAGACGCTACGCTTACTGAGGCACCTATCTGCAGTCAAACGAACGTATGTACTGTGACACGTAAAGCCCTAAAATACGTGTCAGCTGCAGACTAGTACGTTCAATAAAGATTTGAGTTCGAACTTACCCTAATGTTGATTTGAAGTTACTTTCATCTTCTGCTTTCCAACTGCGAACTGATTGCTGCTTGAATCTTTGCCTCGTCTTCGACTTCCCTCTTGCGTCATTTCCGTTTGCTTGAAGTTGCGAATCAGACAAGCTTTGATTATCTGGAATATTCACTGATGGTATCAACCATTGCGTCGTCGTTGCATACTGTTGACATGTTGTCTTCAAGGCCTCAACTTTCTGAGATACAATACAAACAAAACATGGTAAGATTCAGGACAAAGAAGAAACTTGAGAGAGGAAACTACAGATCAAAACCAAAGAAAAAAAACTACTAAAGAACACTCGTTATTATCATCGCAGATTACGACGAGTTCAAGAAGCTTGAGGAATAGGAAAAACTCATGACTAGAAGAGGCTTGTGGCAAAGCTCTCACCTTTAAAATTTGTGGCCACAATAGCATACATTCTTTCAGGCATTTATCCAAAAACCTATCATGCTGCTGCATAACCTGTAGAAGAAGGTTGTGCGAACATCAGATCACAATACGTAGGCCCCCTCCCCTATCTAACGCTTATCCAGGAAGTGATATTTAAGACGTGAATCAGACAAATAACGGAGCCTTACTAATTCATTCTACTGCCATCGTCAACTGTACAGGTCAATGTCGACTCAAATTTAACATACAGGAGAAGAGGTTCAGATCAAACCTCATCTATACTTTTCGCATTCTGCATATTGTTTTCCATACCATGCCAATTTGGTTCAAGAACCTGTTCAGGACAGCATCCAGTCAGTCATTTGCAGCTTCATAAAAGACGCAAGTGTCTGGCATGGGGACTGAGTCATGAGATTACTTAGCACGTCATACAGGTGCGGGACTACCTCAAATGTCAGATAATGCTCAATGCTCTGCATAAAGTGCAACATTCTCTGGCAGAGAACATATGATCTTGAAATTGCCGTTCCCACAAAGCCGAGTCGCCGAGTTGCCTGAAAAAAAACACCTTAGATTGAACTCTGTAATGAAGGCAACGTATTTAACTCAGTTGAAAAGGTAAACCACCGAGCATTTCAGTTGACTTTACTGGTAGAAGAAGACCCTAAAGTCAAGTCGTAACTGAACTCATCACCATTGCAATCTGAATCTCAACTCTCAAATGCAATTTATGATCGGACTTGCAAAAACCTCAAGAAATCAACTTACTTGATGAGCTTGCCAGGTCATGCAAAGCTGTCGTTCAACGTGCTTAAAATGAAATAGATGCCGGAATATAAGTTGGTACTTTGTTAAGGCCCTCCTCGAGACAACCAGGGACAAGGGCCACGGCACCTGAACCGAAATCAGTTTTCTAAGTTGATCGGTCTCGAGACAGGAAAAACTGTAGTTCCTGAGTAATAAACACTCTGCTAGGGCACTGCAAGAGAGGATCGCTGTCAAACGAATCAAATCTCTGAAATATTTGATATCAAATTTATACCTTATAGTCAAGCGTGAACGTCTCAATGCCGGTGATATTGCCGGTAGCACCTTGCATACCAAGTGCTGATCCATTCAGACTCAGATTTGCTAGAAAGGATTCAGGATTTCCATTCGTCTCAGTGTTACCCATACCGGTTGAGATGGTACTTTGTAACTGCGTCAATAAAGCCGATTTTTCCTGTAAAGAAAGAACAACGACCCATTAGACTGCCTATTTAGCAAGAAGAAATTCCACCTATAACGCGTGGGGACACCAATCGAAAAACTGTAGTACTCTCCTAATGAATGAAAATCAAGGAGAAATTCAGGTAACTGACTTCACAGCTGACATGGAGACAAAAGCTCACCACGTTGCAGGTCAAATCATCGTGATACGGATCTGACGCTGAAACAGATGTTCGTAATGCGAGCTCCAGTAACGACTGACAAGACGAATTTTGCAACATTATTAGCCCAATGCTAGAGAAACGACTGCTGGAGCTTCTTACTCTCGATCAAGCAGAGAAGTTCTTGGTTAGTGAATCTGAAGTATCAGAAACCGTCTAACTAACCTCAAGACTTTACTCGAGAAAGGTATTGGCTCAGTCTATACAGTAAACCTATCTCTTTAAGTCTCCTATATGAGAATGACTGAGCTGATTAGGAAGGCCCGGGTACCTGTAGTTTTTCCATAGTGATGGTTGAACTCCTCTTCATTAGTTCATCTTTCGCTATGTCCATAAAGTGCACGAGGAAATCACCCTGTCGTTTGAAATAGCTTTGATGAATCAGTCGCCTGAAAGCACCTGCTTACTTAGGCTGATCTAAAATAACTTCAAACTCACAAGTTTGCACATACGAGCAGCCCCGTATTTTACTTAGCAAGATATGTATCTTGCTAAGTAAAACACTAAAAACTCAAGTAGCAAAAGGCAGTTTTCCAGTTCAGAAAAACTAAGTTGCAAAAGAGCTATCGTACAAGGAAGACAAAAATATCGGCACTGGACGACAAGACGACATATTAAGCAAATACATGAATTGACTAGGCCTAATAACTTCCCTCTTCAAGTCAACAATACGTAAAGTGCTTACTTGATCCATGAAGAAATAATGCTTTACTGATCGTAGCCGTCCCATTAGATCGAACTGACATCAGAATGTGTTGATTAGTGATGCGCTAGATACAAGTCCAATGACAGAAGAAAGCGTGTTTACTGCCAAAGAACCATAAAACTGAAGTAATAAAGAACTCTAAGCATCCAACATCAAACAAGCTTTCATGCACCTCTTGCAAAAGTGAGAATGCTTACTTTGTTCATTATAAGGTTTATCAATTCGGCACTTGCATGATTGTAGGCGACATTTATACGCTCCAAGTAAGGACGACTTGATCCAGCATCTGTTGAGTGGATATCATTCGGAAACTGAATCTGCGATGACAATATAACAAACGTTACACTACAAATTCATGTGCTTTGGTTCCACAAAACATCACCTCATTGATCCATCACAAAAAGAGAACTGAATATAAAACCTTGTGCACCTGAATGTGTGCAGAGACAAACCTTAATACTGTGTCCGCATTCTCGCACGGCATTTAAATACTTTCCTGCGGTGAGGATAGTTTCTGCTGAGCCACTTAAGAATCCTGGAATATCCTGTCTCAGACTATATCGCTGGTGCCAGTACGTAGCGTGATAATCTTGGCTCAAGCTCTCCTGCTTATCATAACGACGTTAGACACCAACTTGTATATGAACAACCATCAACATAGATTGCAAACATCTCCGAATAAAATCAAACCATAGAATAGTCCTCGCAGGGCCAGAGATGTACTTTCTGCAACGCCTTGTTTTCATCGATCAGAAACTCGCCGTATGGATCATCTATCACTCCTTCAGAAATCCATCTGCTCTCAAGAACACGAAGCAAATTAGTAAACACGCTATACACGCATAACGAACAATTCACTATGAACTCTATGTAACAAGATCACGCGTGAGCACAATGCGTCCGGGGAAATTCCGACACCATTGATCCAGAAAGGGAGTTCACCTTTCAAGAATTCCAAAATAGGGTGCACTTGCCGCTTGCGTGAGCTTCTGTAAAAGAGCTCTCGCCGAACTATCACCTGCCATCGCCGTTCCCTGTTCCAGAAAAGCTTCTGATCCTTAGTTAGTAATACGGCGAGTCAAATTCGGCAGTATCGGGTTCAACAACATAGTTTGCAATAACACAAGCAATTAGTGAAAGAACATGACCTGAGTTTGCAGCAGATTTAGAATCGCAGCTCCGGATAAATTCTTCATCATAGCTTTTTGAACCACTGCAGATAGAGCCTGCATGGCTCCCATCATAGGCTGCGAAACACAGAAGAGGATCAACTCCACTTGTTAGTAACCAGTGAGAAACAGAGTAGAAGACTATATGTACTGTAGGTACAGAACTCTTGTCAAGCTAACGGACAACGATGTTTCAACGGCAACCAAATCAACCCACTATAGCCAAATCATCATGAAATAATACCCCTACAAACACGCGAAATTATGATCACCTGGCAAAAGAACCACAAACCCTGTAGTGAAAGCCTTGTCAGGCGGAACTGATGTTCTAGTTGTGCAATCATCGCATGGTAATCCTGCGAAACCATAAACGACACTCTCAGTTGGCACCTACAAACTCCTCTCGTCCTCTACAGTACTCGCCTCCCTCCTGCAGCCGATTCCCAGATTTACAACTAGAGGACTGATCCTTTTAAAACATATTAAGGTGTCGGCTAACGATAAAAGAGGCGTCCTTCTTGAGGAAGGTGCTAACTGCTGATCAGCCTTATTTCTAAGAATGAAACCAAATAATCCAAACGAAATGCATAAGTCGTACAATGAGTTGCTCCCTATGAAATATATACTCATAAATAACCTCTTCATTCAAAATCAAATAAGGACTCGAAGTGCTCAAGTATGACTTACTTGCAAGATGGCTCTCAGTGCTGCAGAAAATGCATGATTCACTAGCCCATGCCTGAAGTGTGATCGTGACTCAGCAAATTGACTAACAAGAAGGTAGTTTTCACAAAGAGGCAACAACCTTTTCGCTAGTTCCTGTAGAAGTACGTTGTGCAAATCCGAAGTCAGAATGGAACATAAAAGTAAGACACACGACACATTGCACATGGGGCTGCAAACACCACAAGCCTACTTGGTTTTGCAGGCGGAAAGCACTAAGCACTGCAAAGGTGTGACAAGAATGAGCTGCCAGTAGCTCGTTCAACTTGAGGTTGGAACAGGAACCACCCTCTTTATCAGTGCAACATAAAATCACTGAACTATGACAGCCTAAGTCAGACAGATGTACATAGAATTCAGACCGCAGTTTATAATACCTGTATAGAAGAGTCCATATTTGGGTCCACTGAGATAGTCAAAGAATTTTCTTTCAGTCTACCCCTCCTCACACGGATGTAGTTCCCTTCGATCCCTACCATCATATATAACAGATCGTCGATAACAAGCAACTCCTGCAATTTCATGACACATTTCGACCGGTAAAGGCAATGTGGGCAGGTACGTATTCCTCTTTCCACGGATTAATCTAGCGAAGTCTTCACTAGAAAAACGATGATGCCGACCGTAGGCCTCCGTCACCTGGAACGACCTCCTAGGTAACAAGTGCTCTTTCATATTCCTAAATCACTGAAGCCAAGTTGCATCATCAAAATTTCAACCTCTCTTGAATCCGTGTTGTTGTCAGCCACTGCAACTTAAACCATGCTTTATGGGCAGAGACAGACGTAACATGCACTCTAGAATGTGATATAAAAGTGATCAAACGACTCGAGTCATGAATGACAAGCATCGACACCAGTTCTACATAGGGGATACGGAGATACCAGAAACGATGCGACGACAGAACAACACAGATTAAAAGTACCCGAGATATGATAAAAACTGTATATGTGAAGAAAAGATTCGATACGAACAGAGAATAAACTCGAACAAAAACAGCTATGAACAAGAAAATCTTGAAAGTAGAAAGCACGGCGACTCGGAGATACATGAACAGTAGATGTTTGTAAGAGAAATGTGGCTGAACCAACTAGACTATGATTTGCTGAATCACACATAAAAGCTGGCAATAAGAACCAGGTGATATGGAAGGAGACAATACCTGTACAGCTGGTGAATAAGCACCTAGAGATCGACTGGTTTCACCATTACTAAACAGAGAGAAGAACTGAGTATGAGAAAATCCACCCAATCGACGCTCTCTCATGGCAATTAACTGAAGGGAGCCTCCGTTTAAAAACTTTTAAAAGAAGTACTGGTTTTCAAGACACGAGTATTAATTTTACTAATAACTCGTTTCTCAAGATAATACTGGCCCTCAAATAGAAGTAACAAATGTGTCTAAACGATATCGAGGTTGTGCTCAAGTTATAAAACGTATTACCTGACTAGGTCTCTGTCCAGAGAGTTTCTCCTATTTATATTCATGTACGGAGTAGGTATGATGATCTCCTGAAAATTGACATGAACATCATAACATCAAGATTACGTTGTGTCAAGCTAGGGGTATTGTAAACGTCTCAACGTCAAGAAGGTTATAAAACTCATTCAGCTGAAGGACGAGATCTTGCAGCTTAACAAACCTGCTGATGTAAGTGTTTGCCGGTAAGGTAAGGTCTATCGATGTTCCACTGAGGAGTCCCAGGATAAGAAACACCCTCAATCAACGGCTTCGGAACACCAAGCATCTCTGCAGCCATCAGCATAATGGATGATAAAGAGACATAAATGAAGAGACAGCCAATAATAACAAAAGAAACAACCAATGCATGTAGGCCCTCAAATCAATAAATGGACGAGTTTACTGGAAAAAACTCGGCTTATGCGCATATGGCGAGGGGGACACACTTGATAACGACGACGGCTTACTGTCGGTTCGTGATGTTCGCCTTCCATGACCAGTTTGATTGCTTTCGTCCGCATTCTGGTCATGTGAATGCCTCACAGAAGCCTCAGCCGTGTCATTTGCAGGCACGGTCTTCGCTTTCACGGTGCCTGCATCTGCGGAAGGAGGCATACTTGATGTCTGCACACTCGCAGAAATTCACCAGATACTATAATAATCAACATTTACTGACATACAGGAAAACAAGATCCAACGTGATCTTTCTTTGCCTATATTGTGGACTTAGTGTAAAGACAACTTTGCTTACCTCGATTGTTTCACTCGGCAAGTTTGAGCCAGCTTCAAGTGTTGCGTCACCTGAATCTATGGATGCATCAGCACCGAGCTGGACAGAGACCAACTTTTTAACGTCAGGATCGGCAATGATTTGACCCACTAGCCAAATATAGCGATCGATCCCTTGCACCCTACATGACATCTCCAAGAGTCAATAAAGAATTCCGGGCATACTTCATGTTTGTGAGCATCTGAAGCTACAAGCGCTTCCTCTTTGCAACTAATTTCCCTTTACCTAGTAGCAAGACAGTCATTCATTACTTTTCAGGAATTCTGTGTAACTTCCAAAACTGGACTGGAGCGAACAGTTAATCACACAACTAAACTTGCATAATCACATGTCCAACAGAACAGCAAGAAGTAAAGAGACATAATCCACCATTCCTTTCCACTGTCATTTCTCGGCACTCTATGAACAAGAGTGCTGATAAATGACAGTTAACTCTATCCTTCAGGAGAAGCTTACCCAGCGTCTTTTAGCAGCTCAATCTTTTCCATGAGCTTCTGCGGATAAGGCGAAGCAGCGAGAAGGACACGTTGTTCTTGAAGTAGCTGCATCTGTAGAGACATGTATGCAACAGCACTATAATTTTTAGAAGAATCATAACACAAATTTACTAGAAAAAATGAATAAAAAGAATGCAACTGATATGGGCATTTACCGTGACTTCTTGACTGGTCATGTGTTAATACAGCTTTTGAGGAGGGAGTGGGGGAGAATAAGGAGGCAAAAGCAGAGAATATATTAGCTACAATGTGGTGAGAAGGAAAAGTCGTTGACACGATTGATATTGTTCAGCACACTCTCTGAGCTCCCAATCAAATCTGGTTTCAATTACAATGAATGCAAGTAGAACGGTGGGGTTATCAAAAAGCGCGGACAAACCTTAGGAACAGTTTGAGCGGATGCTTTCTTCAGTGAAGGAATGAACTCCCCAGATTCGGTAATCAAGTGATCATGGAAAAGAGCTGCAGCCTCGGAACTGGTTTTGCAGACTCGTACGAGGTCTTGCAATAAGTCTTGCACTCTGGTGGGATCTCCTTTGGGCCTATCCATCCTGATAAATTTTTCAAACACAAAGGGCTCGGACTGTCCGCAAGCATTCGTAGTTCAAGACCTCATTTTTTAACAGAAATTACACTTCCGCATGTGCCTTCCATACGAGACTCACATTCTGGGAGCGCGAAACACCAGACATGCACACATTTCACCCTAAAGGCGTTGGTTCGCCCCTACATTTCCAACTGTAATTCCCTCCTAATATTGTAACTCCATCTCTCCTCGAACAGATGTCCATGTCGCAAACCCAATATTCTCAACCAGAAGAATCCGCTTCCCGAGAGCTCCAAAGCCACCATCACCACTGTAAAATTTCTTCCAGCGCTGATCGAGAGAAGTTGCAGTGATAGCACTTTAGTAATTCAATCACCACCCGCAGCTATTCGAAACCCTAAACCCCCTCAACATTACCGGGCAGAGGACTGCATTCCCGGTTCTCGTGTCCGCTTCGACCTCAACAAGACGGGAACGACATTCTTTCGATGCCATGTCGAGCCCAGACGCGCTCAGCTCTCGAAAGTCTTCGCAATTCAAAACCTCGTAAACGCGCCCTGGAAGAGACGATGACAACCTTCCTCGTAAGACAGAACCACTGTTCTGCGGGAAGCGGACGATGCACCAGCACCAGTTTCGCTCCCTCCGCAAGAGAAGCCTTCGGAAAGTTGACACTAAGTGCGGCAAAATGTGACGCCACCTACTCGTTCATTCGTGCATGCCATCATCGTCCGGCATCAAGCGCAAGATACGCGACATTGCGACATCGATCGATCGATCGCACAGCGTCGCCAAATTTGCCACCGTCAGTCATGTCACGAGCATGTCGTCCGGCCCCACTCTTCTCCTCCAATTCAAATTTTCCGTCGTCCCTGCCCCGCGCTCTCACGGACGTCGCCGTCGATTATCTGTCCACAGTCTCCACAGTTCAGAGCCTTCAGGAATAGTCCACATGAACAACGCCCTCTACAGCTTCCGATATCCGCCAGATGAGGCAGGAGACTGTTTTAATAGAGTGATAAAGCGAGCGCGAAATGGGAAATACGATCATCGTGGAATATGCAGCCCGAAATATTCGGAATAGGTTGCAGATAGCCCGTCCTAACTTCTTCCCTTTTTCGTCCCACCGATGGGACCTCAATTCGTCCGTCTTCAAAAGTATCCACAGTGTTTCGCGTCGCATTCCGGCTGCGGATTTTTCTGCGGACTTTCTATATGTTCACGATCATTCGGAGTGGGCTTTCCTCCGTCTTGATATACTTGGGGTTGTGTTCTGATGTTTTAAATTTCTTTTCCTACTAGCGAAACCCAATTTACATACAAAATTATATATTGTCTCATAAAATGGAAATGAAGTAGGAATTCTTTTCCATTATATTACAGTGGATGAAATTTCCATATCCAAACAAGTTATTATTTAAAATGAAGTAGTTTTCTTTATCAAAATCGAAATTATAAGGTTTCTTATCCTTCTTTAAGTGTGTGCAACTTCTTATTTACTTTGTAAGTCAATGCTGTTTTAATACTGAACAGAACACTCTTGCACGTTTTGTTGCAAAAATATGAACTTAGTCATGTTTTACACACATATATTGTCAAAAGAGCTTGCTTAATGCAATTAAAAAACCGTGTCATAGTTATAATATGTATATAATGAAATTTCTGCATTTATCAGCTTAAAAACTCATCCATGTGCATATACATTGATGCACATAGTATCTTTTGCATACTTTTTACTTCTTTTTCCAACTAGAAATAGTGCAACTTAAAAAGTCCAAGCTCCAAGTACACATTCATGGTATACATTATATCCCAATACTAAATGTAAAAACAAGTGAAGTAAATGTTATTTACAATGAAAAAAATTTGGATGATAAAGTGTGTATAATTTTTCAGAAAAAATGACTTATCATTGTATACAAAATCTAGTTTATACTATATATATATATATATATATATATATATATACATGAGTTTCCTGTTACATTGAGCTATGAATATAATTATTTACATATATTTCAATATGTCATCACAAAATATATATTTCTTCATTCATATGTTCACATGAATCTATTATAAAAGATTGACATTTCAATAAAACTTTTTTAAAAAATATGATTATATTTTACACAATGTTTTAATTTATATTTCATTATTTTGAACTACTATCAAAATTATAAAATGAAAAATACAATTCTCATTGACTTGTAAGATATTTGTATGATTTGATACTAATAATAAGTTGCATGTAATACATAAACAACCTGCATATTTTTTAAGTTATTATGAAATTTGTCTAACGGTCAAATTAGAGATACTAAGCAAGCCAACAACAAAAGTATAATAGACATACAAAACACACATATAACGTGATTCAACCTCAAAGTTTATATTCACGGGGAGATACATTTGAGAGAGTTTATTACTTCAAGTGAAAACATAACATTACGTACAAAAACATGAGGGTATATAAACCCAAAATATGAGAACAATCTCAGCTTTAATAAGTTACACATGAGGTTACTCTTTAACCACAGTTAACCCCAACAATTCTCACTTTAATTCGTCATAAGTAGTTTCATTAAACTCTCTAACCTACATTATTACTTAGCATGAAATTCTAGACGGAAACCTAACACAGTGCTACTCTTTAAACGAAAGTCAACTAGAACTAAACCGTAAGCATAAAATGATTGAGTAATAATATACAAAGTTAATTCAACAATGTCACTTTAACTTGTGTTAAGAAATTTCTTTAATCTATATTCTTATTTTTATACCAGGATAGATTAATAACATACAGAGTTAACTCAACAATATTCCCTTAATTAATGTTAAACAATATATGTAACCTATATTATCCCCATATTAGAGTAAAGTAATAATATACAGAGTTAATTTAATAATCTTCCCTTAACTTGTGTTCATGATTCTAGATAACTTCTATAACCTATATTAATATTTTCATAATAGAATAAAGTAATAATATACAGAGTTAACTCAACAATCTTCCCTTAATTAATGTTAAAAAATATATGTAACTTATATTATTATTACCAGAACAGTATGAAATAATAATATAGAGTTAATTCAACAATCTTTCTTTAATTCATGTTTAAAAAATATATGTAACCTCTATTATTACTTCCATAACATAATAGAATAATAATATAGAGAGTTAACTCAACAATCTTTCCTTAATTCATGTTAAAAAATATATGTAACCTCTATTATTACTTCCATAACATGATAGAATAATAATATACATAGTTAATTCAACAATCTTCCCTTAATTTATGGTAAATAATCTCATTAACCTCTATAACTTATATTATTATTTCTATAACATGATAAAATAATAACATTCAAAGTTAATCTAACAATCTTCCCTTAATTTGTGTTAAGTAATCTCAATAAGCTTTCTAATCTATACTATTACTTACATAACGGTATAGAGTTATAAAATATAAAGTTAACTCATCAATCTCCGCTTAACTTATGTTAAAGAATATTAGTAAACTCTCTAACCTATATTATTCTCATAACAATATAGAATAATAATATACAAAGTTAATTCAACAATTTCCGCCTAAATTTGTGTTAAGGAATTTCAGTAAACTCTATAATTTATATTATTATTCTCAAAACAAAATAGAGTAATAATATACATAGTTAATTCAACAATCTCTGCCTTAATTTGAGTTAAAGAATCTCAATAACCTCTCTACTCTATATTATTATTACCATGCTATGATAAAGTAATAACATACATAGCTTAGTTAACAATCTTCCCTTAACTTGTGTTAAGTAATCTATGTGAAACCTCTAATTTATATTATTATTCCCATGACAAAATAGACTAATAATGTAAAGAGTTAATTCAACAAAGATTTTTTGGATCAATGTTTTCACTCAGTACACATCCATAATTCATGACATGTCTGGAAACAAATTTCAGCGGTACTACATTCTCATCTCCTGCGTACCAGGTCCCCTCAAGTCATAAGTGCATATACGACGACATGCAGTATATGCAAGTAACTCAACTTCTCTACAACCATCAAGTTTGACTGGCCTTGTACCTAAGTCTAATCGATGGCTTCCCGGCTGGGTGCAACGTGAACTTCAGGCTTGACCACGGTCCGGTTCAGACCGACGGTTAACCTCTTAACTGTCAGGACTGGTTAACCGGTTCGGAGAGAAAAAGAAAAAAAAGAAAATTTCCTTGTATCTCGTAGCTACAGAAAAGGAAGGAAGCATTCGTTGGCATTCAAACATCGGATCACACTGCGTGATCGGTTCTACTCGAGGACGAGCGATTGCACCAGAACGAACACATCAATCGAGTTGGGTACTAACCCAATTCAAGTTGCGACATATTCTCACAAATTACGAGAATGTCTGCACTTCACTGAGGAGTAAACACAAAATGGGAACCCACATTTGGAAGCAGGCAAGATCGCGGATTCAAACAGTTATGATGATCGCCTTAAAGTGCAAGCAAGAATGCACCTACCATTGAATGTTGATAACATAAAAGTAATGAGATATATATGACCAACCATGACATTGTACCGGTGTCGTAGATTGGCAAAGTTTGAAGGAAAACTATCTCGATTGCCAAATCGGCCACGCTAAGGGGGTGTTAACTTTCAGCTCTCAGTAGATGTGTCATGTTACGTGGAGTCATCAGATGCACCGATACACTAAAAAGCTGGGGGAAATTGCGATGAGTCAATCCGATGAATCTACAGAGCTCTTCAATCTCAATGCGTTGGAGATCAATTATATTTACGAGACTATATGAGTGTAGGACAATGGGGATCCCACGATTGCGCAAAATAACACAAAATCACTAACACTAGCTGCCTATATTACCAAACTCACTGACTGCTTGGTATTAGAAGCTTTACAGGTGACAAGAGAGATAAACTTCAGTTCGGAGAGATCAGCAGCAAGGATTAGCGAAACACGCACGACACGAGGATGTCACGTACTCTTCTGGTTCAGTCCCATAATTCGAGAAATTTGATCATTAAAATTCATTATGTTTCAGAGTTCCCGTTTGAGTCTTGAATCTTGAACGTTTGATTTGACCCGTTCAGTCTTTCAGACCCGTTTAATTTGACCGTTTAGTCTTTGAAATCTGGTATATAATGGATCAAAGGAGGTAGCAAAGGAGCAACTGCTGATTTGTGGTATGCTTTGGGCGACGCTGCTAGTTCTGATCTTGATTCACTGCATTCACAGCTGGTTATGCTCGTAGCTACGTTACTCTGAATTTCACTGCTTTGGTGCATCAAGCACCAGTCTCAAACCAAACTAGAGTGCTGGATGGCCAGTGAAGGCAGTCACCATTGAACCGTTGAACCAGGCTCTCCACCAGACGGTGAAGCGCTACATCCAAGTTCCAAATACTTCAAAAATATATCTGTAAGACTTCAAAGCATGCGTTTGTTCCTTCGATGTCTGTGAAAACTAGTCCTCAAACTACCATGAAGTGTGAGCCACAACTCCCCACCCTTCAGCGTTTATAATCCAAGTGGAGATCTCTTAGATCGGATATTGCATGTGTGAAATAAAACTAGAATTAGCCAAGGAGTTAATCATGGTTAGGATAGTTATGACTAAGTCTAGCTAGTTTAGCAATAATATCTACAGTTGGCAGAATAACTAAAGAAGTTCTAGAAGATTTGAGTGATCACTTCTATTTTGTCTTGTACAAAAGTTTGGATTCCTTTACATGTTTAGTTTTGATTGGTTTGATTATAGTAAGGAGTATTCTATTGGTTAGACTAAGTCTAATGTTGACTTAGTGGAAAGTGTGAGTTCTAGAAGTTGGAAAGGCACAAATGGCATGTCGCTACCTCAATCTAGGGATTAGTAAATATCTAGAATGTTTAGTGAGCCAATGGCATGTTGCCACATATTGATAACTAGTCAACTTTACTATGGTTTATCTTTGTAAAAGTAA